GCCCATCATGGAGTTCTGAGAAACGTGTCGCGCTTTGCCTGTATATATCCAAGCTGCATGCTTGGTCTACACAATTTGATGTCTTTGCACACGTCCCATTAGACCTCACACCGGCTATGTATAACTTAGAATATAACCTGTTCCTCAACAGGTCTCACACTGAACTATTTTAACAATTCAGTGCAAGCTCCAATCCCCCCTAGTCACGTTAGGTTCTGTTTGGGATCATTAGCCATAGTTGTTCATAGCAGGTCACATTCCTGAACATTTATTCTCAAGATATCAAAAATTGGGAATCGCTTGTTTATTATCTAATTGATGTTTGTGAAAAATCTCCAACGTTTCATCCCAGAACCTGACCCTGGGGCAAATCTCTCGAAGACGTCTCGTGGAGACAAGGCCTTGTAATTTCTTCATTCTACATTATATTCCACCGTAGAATTAAGGATCTTCTATTTGCTGATTTTTTAAATGTCCAATATGCTGACAGTTGGAGGTATGCAATATAACTTTGAAAGGCCAGTGTATGAAGATGCTGGAGGGTCCAAGTATTGGAAAATGTTTATCTTATTAGGATTTTTCTGATCCTACGTATTGTAATTTTTATTGTGTGCTTTTTTATATACTTGTTAAGGATAGAGAGACCTCTTGTTAAATTATTTGCCGTCATAAGAAATTATTTATTGTGTCATTTAATTGCGGTCTGTCTGTTTCCAGGTGGGCAGACAGAATGTCGGCTGCAGGATCTGATGGAGTGATTCGGAAATTCTCTCACCCATTTGTACAAGGCTGCTCAATGTTTCTTGGAGAATTGGCTTGCCTCGTTGTGTTTAAGATATTTTACGTTTACTACAGAAGCAGAAATGTAAGTACTTATGTGTGGTAATAATCATTATGACAATATTGGAACATTGAAGTTCTAAGTGGATAAAAGCATTTCTCCATATGTCTCAAGACCTTCATTTACGCTCTATGTTTTAAATGGCAACCAACCCAAATATTTCCTTGAAATTTTCTGTGAACATTTTTGAATGAGTGAATAAAATTTTCAAAAAATGTCACAAGAAACTGTTAGTTGGTTTTATTTTAGGAAAATAACTTTTATTAGAGACTTACAACATTGCAAACAGAGGTGCTTATTTTTTACCAAGCCCACTTTATATGCACATTTCCAGGAGATGACCTAACAAAAATGTTCTACCGCCACTATTTTACAAAGGTCCATTAAGAGAACTGATCGGACTATTAAAAAATAGTATTCTGGTAAATTTGAGCTGTTGATTTGTCGGATTTTGATTAATTTATCCTCCCTTAAGAAATGATTTTTTTTCAACTTTTTGATGAGCTCTTTAGCTTTTTCACAAGATTTTACCAAGGGAAAATGTACTACAACCCTGCAAAAATTTGGTGTCATTGCCTCATTTGGGAACCCTCCTCCACTCTCTAAATACTGCGAATTGACCATCTCATTGTTTATTGACTCATTATTTATAAGTATTTATATTTTATTTATAGTAGGTATATAGCTCATTATTCTGCAAATCATTTTTGCAAGTGTCACACCTTAGTCTTAATGAGGATGTCTGTGTTGTTCTAGGATGGCTCTGAGATTGAAAGTGACATAGTGCGTGGAAACACTCACTTCAATCCATTGTTATTTGTACCACCAGCAGTGTGTGACATGCTAGGCACATCTTTAATGTATGTAGGCCTAAACCTTACTTACCCCTCAAGTTTCCAAATGTTAAGAGGTTAGTATGACAATCACTCATTAGGTGCATGCTAGGCAATCATAGATCAAACATTTATCATCATTGTTGCTAACCTTATCATGAGATTCTTGAAGGAAGGCAGATTTGGGACAATCTTAAAAGTATGCATTCATGATGCATGTAATCAGTGTTGCCCTTTTACTGTCAAACCTAAGTATTTTGTGTGCCCTATGTAATTGGAATTTCTATATTAAATGAACCTCTTTGTGACATGTATGCAATAAAAGCCCAAGTATCATGATAACTCCTAGTCGTGGTTCATTGACACACTTGCATGTAATATTCTTTATCCTGGAATATATACATAATATATGATCAAAAATATCTTAAAATCTCTCCAGCTCAGATTTGACATTTTATTTCATCCTTGATTTTATGAAATTACCAAGACTTTCAAATTTTAGTGAAAGGTCACTCTCCGTCCTTGAACTTCTTTAAAATCATCAATAGATTTAGTCTTTTTTAATTGTCAAATTTCCCCATCTCAGATATTTATTCCCTCCTTTTCCAGGTGCTATTATTATTTTCACCGCATTGTTGTCGGTGGCATTCCTAGAAAAGAAGATAAAAACCCATGAGTGGGTGGGAATTTTTGGCGTCATTATTGGTCTAGTCACCGTAGGATACTCCGACTACATACTCATTAAGGAAAAAAGCCCAGCTGATCAAATATCTGACCTAAATGGAATAATCACAGGTACTACAATATTTATGTGTATAAAATCTTTAAAAAATGCACAGGATGTCTATTAGGGTGTTCCAGAAAAAGGTCGACCCTCGAAAAGTTACGTTTTCTGGTTAAAAAGTTGTTCCATTGGGTTTGAAAACACTTTTGGCCAAGTTTCAGATTTTTATGCTGCATCGCACATATGTGAAATTTGCGATCCCGATAATTGAGAATTTGACGATTTGATGATTTTTTTTTAAGGGATGAAGCAGTCACGCTAGAGCCCCGTAAATTTGAAATAGTACACTCCTTACACACACCTTTGGATGTAAATTGAACATTTTGCGGTGCAAGACACGCAAGTATTTTTTATAAATTTGGAATCTTGGAAACTTGGCCGAAAACGTTGTTTAGGCATAAATGGAATACATTTCAGCGAGTTGATTGATTTTTTAAAGATTGAAAGAATATTTCTATCCTTGTAGAAACTTAAGGTAGTTGACTTCTAACAGATTACTTTTGATATAAACTACACATTTGAGAGTGCAGGATGCGGAAGTATTTTCTAAAAATTTGGAAACTTGACCGAAAACGCTGTTCAGAAGCATAGATACATTTCGGCGAAAATTGATTATTTTTTTAAATTTCAGAGAAATACTGTTGGCATTGTTTAGGCCAAAGGAAGTTGACTTCTAACAGTACAGGTTTGACAAAAAATTATAGTTTTGATATCAGAGCCAGAAATTTGGAAAATCTCTGAACTAACTTAAAAATGCAACTTCGGGCTTGAATATCCATTGAATATTTTTTTGCGATCTGCAAAGGACGCAGGAAAAAGTCTACTGGAAAAAATATTTGACACCGAAACATTATAATACATACAAAACAAAATTTCAACAGTAAAACTTCACCAAAAAATCTGAAACTAAGCCAAAAGTGTTTTCTAGCCAAATGGAACACTTTCTTAACCAGATAACGTAACTTTTTGAGGGTCGACCTTTTTTTGGGACACCCTAAACTGTCTATGATAAACTCCTATTTCATTTCTTTTAGGGCAAATGAAGTCGGGTATTAGGGGGTCCGATAGCAAATGGTAAGATTTTCCCCTCTTTAAGAGTCTGATAGAATAGTTTCATAATTTTATCGAAAACTCCAATTTCTAAAGTTCCACAAGAACTTCAGGAAATTGGAATCCTGATGCCTTAAAGAAAGTTCTCCATTCAACTCTCAAGTCTCCGTCTTTGTCTCTGCTCATTGTTATCATGGAAACTTGTACATTATTTATATTATCAGTCTGTTTAGTTTTTGCACCAAGAAATGGTGGAAATCAGTAACTAATTCTACACCNAAAATTATGAATAAAAAAAAGATTCAGATGAAAATAAAACAAAAACAGAACAATTTTGACTTTGAAGTATTTGATAAGCCCTAACTGTTTGAAACATACAATTCTAAGAAGTGATGTAAGCAAATATTTTTGCTGCTTTGTGGTGTAATTAGTTCAAAATTTGAAAAAAAACTAACAATAAGGTGGTGTTAACTAAGCGCGCATATATATATATATATATATATATAAAACACATAATCAGGAAAGATGGAGAACTAAAAACGTGTGTAAGTTATTTTTCAGAAAATTCCTGATGCTGCTCCTTGATCCTAAAATAATATGTCATTAATGGTTCTGATATGTATTTTAATGTTGTTACCGCTGTTCCTCTTGCATTTCCTATTCAATAATCGCAGCTGATAAAGACTAATTTTTGACTAATGGGCAGAGTTCAAGACCAGTGGGTTTGCTATTTTTTAGACCATTTCACATGCTTAACTGTTTTATCTCTTCCTGTTCTCAGACTGAGCTTTCAATAATTTGCGTCATTTCAGGTGATATGCTGATCCTTATGGCAACCATCATCCAAGCTGTGCAGATGGTTTACGAGGAAAAGTTTGTTGTCAGTAAGGATATTCCTCCTCTTCAAGCTGTTGGATGGGAAGGTGAATCATCATTTTTGCCATCAACAATCTTTCCATTGAAGAGAATATATTTTTTTGATGCCGAATTCATACATCAAAATACTTAGAGCCGATGGAGACTAACAGTTCTAAATTTTTTTTTTTTTTTTTTTTTTTTTTTTTTTTTTTTTTTTTTTTTTTTGTAGTTCTTCCGGGAGAAAAAGTGGCGAATCTTATCGAAGATATGACAATTTAAGCATCTTGTTCCGCCGGCTGTGTGAACAAAGTCGGGGGTTTCGATTTCCATCCGTTTCGCACTACCACCCCAACATGGGGTGGGTTTCGGCCAGATGGTCATCTAGATGGTTAAACTATCATATGTTGGTTTAGGCTCTAATTTAGAAAGTTGCTCTGATCAGGAGCTGGCTAGGGAGATCGGGGACCGAGGTCGAGCCGACCAACTAAACCAAACTCACGGCTGCGTGTCTGCCCGGATAATGCCGGAATCATCCCTCGAACAGTTCTAAATATTAGTTCAACTTTAAAGGGGGCAATAAATAATAAATCTCTTGGCTTCAAAGCTATTTGTATCATGTTCATACACTATGAAGAAGAAAAAAATCGAGTTTAGTTGAAATCTCCTTAGAAGAAACCAGGTTTAGAATAGAAAACATGGCTTGGCTAATTAGTTTGGTACTGAGATGTCCTCCCATAATAACTAGTGATAAATGACCTCACTTGTCATCAATATTGAGAGTAGGTGTCCTTTTTTTGCTTGCTTGAGTGAATTTTTGATATGTTGATTAATCGTTGCAGGTGTATTTGGATTTGTGATCCTTGGGTCGCTACTGTACCCCTTTTACTACATACCAGTGAATCCTCCGTTCTCTAACAATGCGCACCATGTAATAGAGGACCTTCCTGATGCTTTGGCCCAAATGAGGAACAATCCACTGATAATCTACTCTATTCTAGGTATTATTAAGTCCCATTTTATCTGTCATAGCTGATGTTCTCTTTTAAGAATTTACTTTCATGAAGGTTTGATCCTGGGAGTCAGAATTGTATGCAAAATGTAAACCGATTATTTATCTTACCTCAAAACCTACACCCACGGAATTTCAATTCAATTAACATAATAGCAGATGTGTTTTTAAATGAAGCAGTATATTTATAATAATGAGAAGCGACACAAGTTACTTTTGATTGGACCCTCTCTTTAGAGAAAATTTTTGAATAATAAGAGTAGTCCTCGCAAAAACTGAGCAATCAAATCACAAAGTGTCGACATCCTTCAAATCAGTGACTTCAATTTTCTAAGTCGTCAGCTGTGATTTATCATGGGGAAGCTCAACATTCATTTTGACATGGTAGGTTGTTAAGCTGTCTCTCACTAACCTCTCTGTGATTCTCAAATAAATAGTTCAGAAAGGATGTGAAGCACCCTCTTCCACCCTTTTGCACTTTAGGTCCCAAATTGTTTTCTATTTTGTACCTTACATTTATGTGCAAAGCTTGCAAGCATGTTTTAATTGTGTCAATCATACTTTTGTTGTTTTTTTTTAGGAACCATTGTGAGCATTGCATTTTTTAATTATGCTGGTATTAGCGTAACAAAAGAAATGTCTGCAACCACCAGGATGATTCTTGACTCTGTTCGCACCCTGTTTGTCTGGATTGTCTCTTTACAGCTCAATTGGCAGAAGTATCATCCGCTACAGGTATTATCATTATTCTCAATAAACGTAAGGCTAAGTTTTTCGTGCACTAAGTAAGGATGCTCTACAGTGTTCGGCAAGCCATCAAAAAGATTCTAAAGAAGTAGTTACACTAAAACAACCCTCACTGGTAACTGTGGGAGTTTTCAGACCAATTGTAAATGAACTTTAGGAAGACTTTTATCATTTATACTGTACAAAACTTTTCCATCATGCTTTCAAAAATATTCTTTGAGACTAGTGTCTCTGTAGAGAAATGCTCTTGCCAAGTAGGTCAAATTTTTAATTTTGTGTCCACATATGTCAACCTGAGGAGAACTTTTCATGAGTTGGTACATGTTTCAGTATTCTAAAGGAAATATTTCAACTCTCTGTGAATTTTTTCCTGTAGTATTAAACAAATAATAAAATATTTTTATCTATTTTTACAGCTCCTAGGATTTGCATTGTTGATTTTTGGCACTGCTGCATATAATAACATCCGACCTGCATCTCTATACTCGAGTCTCAGATCGAGCCGATCGGAGGAAGAAAATGATGAAACTCCAATTATTGTCACTCCGCCTGACCAACCCACCCCTTAGGCTTTTTGAAGTTCTAGGAATATTTTTTTCAAACATTTGTACAATTAGAAGTGCCTTGGATTTTCAATCCATTCAAGCCCCTGATCCTAAGTATATTTATTTAGCATTTGTTTTTCCAGATCGTTTTGATTGTGATAGGAAATAGCTAAGTTTAGCTAGTGAATTCGAAGCAAGATCTTTCACAATTTTTTTGTAACTCGTGATATTTCCTTTTTTTTTTTTTAGTTATTTTCCACATTTTATCAATAGCGTCACTCGTTGCAAGTGGATTTTGCTGACCTTTTTAGTCGATGTTATGACTTTTTTAAATGCTGATTGTTCGGTGAAAATGTTAAAAAAGTGGACATAATATTTTTGAGGACTGTAAAATGATTAGTTACGTTAATTTATTTCAGGTCTTCAATGTTAGCGCTGAGACATTCTGGCAAAGATTTTCTCAATTACTAAAGCTTTTAAAAGGTAAAATCGTAGAAAGGCAATAGTTTTACTCTTATTTCTTTCACCGGCAAGTGGTAAAAATATTCAGCTAATAGAATACCAGGAGGAGATTATTTCTGTTACTCTTGCTTTTCCTTTACAGTGGAAAAAGTGAACTTAATGTTAATTTAATTCATTTTAAACCGAGGATTTTAACATTATTATACGTTTGTGTTTTAGGCTATCAGAGAAATAAGCAAAGACTGAGAAGGTTAATGATTTTCAACGAAATTGTCAAACTTCCTGTATATTAGGTTCTGAAGGCTGTTGTTTAAGTTGTATTTTAGTTTTTATTGTGGATCTACGTTGGTGCAAGCACTATCTCTGCTGAAATTTGTAAGTGTTTGTTTGATTGTCCACTGCAGTTTCCTCATCTGAGTGTTTTTTTGGTCGCTTGTGAACTTCGATGTCAGTGATTTAGCAAGCAATGCCAGCATGTATTTATTGAAGTGTTACCAGATAACTGATCATGAATTGATCTCTGAGCTTTTTGGAGACGTATGGAATTTAAATTGGTAGGTTTATGAATTGCATTTATTAGTGACCATTCCATGGAAACCACTTAGTATAAAAAATCAGTAAGTGATTAGTCACAGTTATTCTCACAGTTTTGTAATTTGATTACGTTCAGATCCGCTAAGGTTGACATATTATTATACTTACAGTTGTTCCCTGACTTTTTACTCACAAATGCTTCCTTGACATCAATGATTTTGAGAAATATGATTACAACACTGAGCTAGCATTTCGAAGTAGGCAAGGTACATACATGATTTTTGTATTCATCATGAAAAAGTTGTCATATGATGTAGTGTCTTCAGGGTAAAGGGTCGTTTGAGTCTGCATTGCTGTGTGTGTTACTGGTGGGAGGCAGGTTGAAACCCAGTAGTATGTAACAACCTATTTGTAAAACAATGCTTTCAGGTTATATTTCCTTAAAAAACTGGTGAAAATTGGGGGGGGGGATTCCCCAAAGCTGCAAAATTGGTCAATAGAGAATAGATTGAATTGAAATGGGAGGGGAATAGGGAATCCTAAAATCGGAAAATTTGCGTTTCAAAGGACTTGAATGCCCCATTATGAGTGACTTAATTTTGACAATGTTGAAGTGGACCAAGGCTAACAGAAATAATTCAACATTTTTTAAAAAATGAAATGAAGAAACAGAGGTTTGAAGATCAACACCTCTGCTCTGTAAAATCAAAGTTGGGGATGAAGCTCAACACCATTTTTTTTGCCATGCAAAATATTTTTTCTCAGCTTTACAGTTATGATCAGAGATAATTGGACTGAGTTAAGCAGAAAGGAACCAACCCACATTTTGGGAAAAATTGAGTTATGAGTGGTTTTGAACTCAACCACAGCTCTACTATCTATCGCCAAAAGTTCAAAGTTTTTGTTGGAGCAAATTTTGCAGAAATTGAACTTGAAGTTTATGTTTTACATTGAGTCTTATGCAGGAGCCAAACTTTAAACCTCTTTTTCTCGGTTCGATCCCGATGTGGCTTGGTTCCTTTCTGTTTAACTCCGTCCAATATGCAGTTAGTAAACCTCAAAGCCACCCTTTACTCATTCTATTCCAGAATGTGACATGGTTTCGTTCTATTTAATCCACTGCTATTGATGTCTAATTGGGCTGAACATGAAGGAGAACAGGAAATAGAAGAATGTTCTTCTCCAGAAGACTTGTCATTATTTTTTCAGGGGATTTGAACAATTTTTATTGTTAAGTTACTCACTAGGTGTTACCTATTTCTTTTATAATTCGTTTTAATTTAGTACGTAACAAATCATTTAAAAAAATGAAAGAGATATTTTCTAACTGTGGCTCTATAGTTTATTATTGAAAGCATTCATCGCTACATATTTTACTGTTATTTTATTCAAGTTTGCTTTTATGACTTAAAGATATTAGAATCATTAAATAATCCAGTGTGACCGTACATGTTCCATCCTCAAAATTTTGTAAGAAACATGGTGGACTCATTGAAAATTTTCGCCAGTCATCTAGTCAAGTTGATGGACCTTGAAAGGAAAACCAAAAACTCTGAGCTATAATTTTCTTTGTCTCTATCTAATCCTCCTGGCCAACGAGGAAACAAAAGCTCTCTGCAATTGCTAATCCATCAACAACAATTTAACATTTCTACCACATAATGCTTGTACAAATAAAAATGCTCAAAAATTCACCTTTTAGCCAGCCCTGCTTTTCTCGAAATTTGCTAATCGTGCTCAGGTCATGAAGAGCAACCAATCAAATAGTAACGAAATATAGCTGACACTGAATCCATTGGTATGCCAAGCAAGATCTTTTCAGTTCGACTGAGGAAGGAAACTCTCTGGATGTCAGCCATCTAAAACCTCCTTGTCAAAAGGTGAAGACTTCTTGAGTCGAACCACTTTTTGAATTAAGTCTCTTGTGTGTGCTGTGATCCAACAATTTCTCTATTTGTGGACTCTTTCCAATGGAAAAGCTCCCTAAAATTCACTCGGGTAATCTGGTGATTGTGCAAATCTCTCCTCAATGAATGAATTCATTCGTAGTTTGAATCAATTGATTTCAGTGCTACTTATCAACGTTTATCTTTGTCAATTTTATACATAACCAATCCGATCACGCTATTGTGCATGGAATTTTAATGAGAAATAACTTTTACCCTGTCCAATGCTTCCTCCTAAGTCACAATGCAATTTTAAAATGAACATTTTCTCTGATAAAAGACCGCAAGGATTTTCGCTATCCTCGTAATTTTTTTATTTTTTTACTACAAATATGAATGTACCTAATCTGCTTATGACAATTTTTATCATCGTTTCTTTAAATTTTTAATTCTGTTATCTTCTTCGTCATTGTTAAAAGTAAGTCCCTGACATAAGTTGTACCTATTGTTGATGCTCTTTTGTGCAAGATATGGCATGCTGTCTGGTATGTGTTCGAAACATCTATCTATCTGCATTTCTTAGATGGAATGAGGAGATTCTCTCTTTTATTGGAAGCTTTTCTGTCTTACCACTTGTTTTGCTGAGTCTCAGTGGCACTTTCGTTTTCGTCCTCATCCCAAAAAAATATTCACATTGAAAACAAAAAATAAAGGAAGCAATTTTTGCAATGCATTTCATCGTATGACGAGGTTTTGTGGCCATCTCACAAGATATTCCATCACCACTCAGGCTCACCTGGATCTGTGCTAATTTACTGGAATTCCAAAAGTTTATCAGATTCTCCTGCGTTCCGGATTGAGCATTAATAACAATGTGAACTGTGATGGGTTTGGTTAAGGTTGATCTACAGCTTTCTGGGAAATATTTCGATAGTCAATAAGACAAAACGACCTGTGTTATACACACCAGACATACTTGCAGAGCTATTCCAAAATGTGTTGTGGTCAAATCTTGTGTGCAAATACCCGACGGACTAATGAAGACCAAACAACTTGTCATGATGCTTGGAAATTTCCGAAGAAATGTCCTTAAATGTAGAAATGACCAATTGATTAATGGACTATCAAATCATCCTCTTTGGCGCTGAAGATCTACCCCAAGTATTTGCATGATCATGAGCAGCCAGTGGAGCACTTTTTGCAAACCCATGTCTATCCTTTCTTAGGTTGAATATATTGTTTTTTATGAGACAAGTATCGTTACCATCTCTAATCTTAATGCTTCTAACAGAAATTCAGAAAACTGATTTAGATTCGGATTGATGACTACCAACTATCTGGTTCAATCAATGTTGACTGAAAACCAGTCAAAATTATTTTTATTTCATTCGATTTTTTATTTTTCTGTAGCTAGGTATTTTATACTTTCTATTTTAATTATCTATAATTTTTTTACAAATGTATTTTCCCCTTCTCTTAACGTTATCAGTTATACTACCATTTCATTGTATTTTGAATTTAGGTCAATAATAATCTCTTTATGCATAAGGTCTTGCTCTTACTACTTTTCAAATCAGTTCATACTATTTGTGCAACCTGAAGAATTAAAAGTCAAGCACTTCTTAAGGCCTTCTCTTATTTAAATGTTTGCTTAACATACAGTTTTCTCTCTATATCGTCATTTTTAACAATGAGAACTTCGTGTTTTTTTCATATTTTTTTCTTTTGCTTTCTCTTTATAATTTGCAACAACGATAGTAACTTCTACCTATCTCAGTGGTTTTTTGGTTTCCTTTCAAGGAGAATCGTGATGCTTTTCCAGAAGATGTATGAAAAATCACATGCTGTGTAATTTCGAGAAAAAATCAAGCTCTTCCAAAAGGCTTTGAATAAAAATGTCAAAATGAGGCATTTTTCAAGGAATTTTCAAGGCTCCATAAATCATAATTTATGGTCAAACCTCTCTTTCGGTTATGAGACAGTCATTATTTTTTCCAAAACCAGCAGCAAAAATTCTGCAGTGTAAACATTTACAATGCGGCTATGAGGCTGTCTGGGTCATTCCATATAGAACCTACCAGTCATGCAACCGCCCGACTCGGATTTTGATGATAAATTTTTTTCTTGATCAGACCACCAAATAATGAACTTCTGCAAAATATTAGGTCTCAAATCGAAAAACTCACTGAGATATGAATTTTGGAAGTTTTAAGAATTTTCAAGAAAGAGCCGTTTCGAACTTCCGAGAAAGAGAGGGTCATTTTCCCCAAAAAAATTCACCCCGGGCCCATTTTTCGTCGGATTGTAGTGAAAATTTGACACAATGTCCATGAAAGTATATAAATTTGAGAATAAAATGCATAAAATGTTCGACTTCACTCATTGATGTGCTGCGGTTGATTGTTCGTTGTGATTTTGTCTGATTTTAGCGACACAACCTTCCCCTCTTCAAATGCTCATAACTTTTGAGCTGCAAGTTATTTTTTGCTCCAATTTTTTTTAAAATGCTCCTAAGAGTATTAGAAAGACGCCTGAAGAACAATTCTGATGGCGTTTTGGGCTTTAGTATCTTTTTTTTCACTTTTGTCCGAAAAAGGCCTAAAAAACTGGAAATAACACCAACATTGTTCCGATAATCGACCATTACCCTGAAAAGTCAACTCAAAAATCGCTCAATTTTTGCCTGAATGGTCCTTACTGTGTGTACAATATGTTTGAAAAATAAAATCAATGGTATTTCGGGTTTATATATCTTTAACTTCGAGTTTCTTCCGAAAAAAGGCCAGCAAAACTGAAAAACACTGAAATTACACCAATTATCGGCGCTAACGTTGGAGTAGCAACTCAAAAATTGCTCACATTTATACTGAATGGTTCTCACTGCATGTGAAATACGTCTGTGGAATAAAAGTGATGGTATGTTGGGTTTCCATAACCCTTTTCCCAACATTTTTACTTAAGAGAGGCTCGCTCAACTGAAAAAAGCGCTAGGAAAATCTCATTAACCGACCATTACATTGAAAAAACAATTGATTGGGGGCCCAGATTTTTCACCAAAGGACTCTTGTTGTATGGGAAGCACACTAACTTGAGGAGTGAATATAGCAAGGGATTCACTCTTAAAGGGAGGGAAAAAATATGTATAAAAATCATGTATTTAGATATTTTGCGACAAAAAAATAGAATGTTATCAATAAAGTAACTGTAAGGTTTGCCCTTGATTTACTCAATTCAGAACTTAGTTGCTTTTTCAACTCGAAGCATTAAATTTACTCCAAAAAACTTTTTAATTCACGGACGCGGATGGATACATAAATGAAATTTCAAAGTCGTTTTCTTCCTCTGATTTGGATAGAACAAGCCCAAAGAACCAATGCCTATCACGCACACACGCAACAACGAATTTGTTGAGATTTCTAGCATAACTTTAACTTACTCTGGTTTAGAGTAATTATTCAGGGCAATCAAGATCGTGATCTATATCAGCAACAGTCTAATTTATAGATTTGAATATTAAAAAGTTTTTTGAAGTAAATTTAATGCTTTGAGTTGAAAAAGCAACTAAGTTCTGAATTGAGTGATACAAGGGCAAACCTTACAGTTAGGTACTTCATTGATAACATTCTATTTTTTTAACGCAAAATATCCAAATACATGATTTTTGTACATATTTTTTCCCACCCTTTAAGAGTGAAACCCTTGCTTGAGATGTTAAGGAAATAAATCTTGTGTAGGCCTGTTGTCTCACCACCCGTGACCTCAGCAAGTCTATATAAGCGTGCGCTGCCCTAAAATCTAGGTCTGTCAGTCTTTTCTCATCTCTTAGACCCCAGGTTCTTTACCATCTAGACCCGTACAAGTACGTTTGTGCCCACTCTCGCCTTCTTGCACATTTTCTGAGTGACTATTTTCTTTACTGTTTAACTCTTGTGATTCTATGCTCTCTCTTTTGACTCAGTTTAACTCTAAATTTCATCTCCAAAAATTCAGTGTCTATAATTCTCAATCCATTCTAGTAGTTTGTTGATTCTACCTTTTATTAAAAATCAACTGGTGCCGAACGGTCTCACGAACTTTCAACCCGAATTTGAGTCTAACACCCGTGACGTACTCAAATTCCATAACAGATGCCTATCAGTTAAGAGATACCTACAGTTTTATTTCCTTACTTTGAAGCCGATCGTAAAGTTTGGAGTGAAGGGGAAAACTACTACAACCAAGAATACACTATATTCACTCCTCAAGTTAGTGTGCTTCCCATACAACAAGAGTCCTTTGGTGAAAAATCTGGGCCCCCAATCAATTGTTTTTTCAATGTAATGGTCGGTTAATGAGATTTTCCTAGCGCTTTTTTCAGTTGAGCGAGCCTCTCTTAAGTAAAAATGTTGGGAAAAGGGTTATGGAAACCCAACATACCATCACTTTTATTCCACAGACGTATTTCACATGCAGTGAGAACCATTCAGTATAAATGTGAGCAATTTTTGAGTTGCTACTCCAACGTTAGCGCCGATAATTGGTGTAATTTCAGTGTTTTTCAGTTTTGCTGGCCTTTTTTCGGAAGAAACTCGAAGTTAAAGATATATAAACCCGAAATACCATTGATTTTATTTTTCAAACATATTGTACACACAGTAAGGACCATTCAGGCAAAAATTGAGCGATTTTTGAGTTGACTTTTCAGGGTAATGGTCGATTATCGGAACAATGTTGGTGTTATTTCCAGTTTTTTAGGCCTTTTTCGGACAAAAGTGAAAAAAAAGATACTAAAGCCCAAAACGCCATCAGAATTGTTCTTCAGGCGTCTTTCTAATACTCTTAGGAGCATTTTAAAAAAAATTGGAGCAAAAAATAACTTGCAGCTCAAAAGTTATGAGCATTTGAAGAGGGGAAGGTTGTGTCGCTAAAATCAGACAAAATCACAACGAACAATCAACCGCAGCACATCAATGAGTGAAGTCGAACATTTTATGCATTTTATTCTCAAATTTATATACTTTCATGGACATTGTGTCAAATTTTCACTACAATCCGACGAAAAATGGGCCCGGGGTGAATTTTTTTGGGGAAAATGACCCTCTCTTTCTCGGAAGTTCGAAACGGCTCTTTCTTGAAAATTCTTAAAACTTCCAAAATTCATATCTCAGTGAGTTTTTCGATTTGAGACCTAATATTTTGCAGAAGTTCATTATTTGGTGGTCTGATCAAGAAAAAAATTTATCATCAAAATCCGAGTCGGGCGGTTGCATGACTGGTAGGTTCTATGTGGAATGACCCGTCTATAAAATACTTGACGGTAAATTTCAGATTTTTCGACCTCCCCCTTTAATATTTTTTGGACATGGGTCCCTATCCTTTAACGCGCAAAAGGGCAGGGCTCTCCTCAACTTTCCCCCTAGCTTCTCTAGAAAGTGACGTCTTTTATGAATGGACCTACAATTTGATGGTTTAAATTCTTGTAAACTGCATAGTAAAAAAATTGAAGATGCAAGAATTGAGTGAAAGATTTATTACTTAAATCTATTATTTACAAAAGACATTATTGGTTATGTTCTAAAGCACAGATTCACTTTCACAATAAAAGGAACAAAAAATTACCTTTGAAGGATTGCTCTTTTCAAATTTAACAGAAGAAAAAAAAATTATAAACAGTGTAACAAATTTTTTCCTCAGATACTTTCCTGTTGTCCATGGATATTAATTTTTTTCAAGAAACTTCTGATAAAACAATAGCTGAAGTCAACTTTGACATAGCACGCAGAGTAAGGGGGAAACAAAAAAAGTCATGCATTCCTATGAATGTGTTCAATCTAATATCATTTAGTATTAACCTACATTCAGGTTAATTAAATTATTTCAGCATAGAAACGCTCTTCCGCTGACACCTTAAAACAGATACTTGTTAAATTACAGACATGACAATTGAATCAAGTTAGATGACGTCACATCTACATTGCAATATTTCAAAATCTCATATTTTATTTTAATCTTCAGAAAGGTAACCTTCCCACATTTTTGCTTAGAATTTTGTTGTAATAACCTTTATACAGTCAGGAAAAATTACAACAATTTTTGAGTGGGGATGATGTTCGGTTTCCTTCAAAAAAATTAAAATAGGAGATGAGATTTTGAAACACTGCAAGGCAGATGATATGATCCGATGAAATCACAAAGCAGGCTGATCATATTTCTCTTGAGAATCAAAGAGGCAAACTCCAATAACAAATAAGGTAAACAAATTTTACTTTACAACTATTCGAGGGCTAAGGAACAATAAAAATGAGTTAGCAACTTTGCCGCATTTTACAGTAAGAAATATGCAAGCTGATTAATTAGGTTTTCCCAATCCTGCATGCGAGTGTTGTAATGTAAAAAAAAAAAAAAAAATTGCAAATCCTAACTCAAAATTAAAAAAATTGCGATGTTTTTTCTTCGTCCTGTAAAATTGTCGGTTTGCAGATAGACGGTGTTGTTCCATGGCCATTGTATTGCTAAGATCGATGGAATACATTTTTTAAAAAAAATTCTTTCTCCATTCTGAGCTATTGATAAATAATTCATCAGAGTTATGTGAAAACTGGTAACATGTAATAAAAGAGAATGTGATGAATTTTGAAAAGGTTGCATGGTGGAAATGAGGACCTGTAAGTGAGATAAAACCAACTTACAAAACCATCACACGCCCCTTGTGGCCATAAAGCTCTAAACTTCCTACCAGGTATACAAGAGACATAATGACACAGTACTTACACTAAAGTAACAACTCTCCGGTGAAACTGTTAAGATTTTTATCTTGGTTGCAGAGTTTCAAAATCTCCAGGCCTATTTTCTTTTTAAAAAGGAGACCGAATCAACATCATGGCTTAAAATTTTCACAGAATATTTTTAACATAGGTGAGAAAAATCACCCAAATTTCGAAGAAATGACGTTCAGTAGTTGTCCATGGAGAAAATAAAGTTTGAAAGGAAGTTAGCAGCGGTGCAAACCGAGATACACATTTCTACAGTTTCACCATCATATTGCAACCTCTGCTATTTTGTAAGCAACAATAAATGATTCATTGTATCTTGAATGATGATGCCCCCACTGAATTCTTGAGGAAGAAATTTATGTTCTGATCTGTTAGCAAAAATTGACACACAAGCTGGGAAGATTTGAGACTGTTTTAAAGTAGCTCCATGGTGGAAAAAAACATGCGCTTTAATAAAAATCATTTCTTTGTTATCTTATTTTCTTTATCAAGAAAAAAAAAATTGAGTGCTATCGGTCAAAAATTTGACAAAATATTTTGTATAAGACAAGGAAAAATCATTGAAAATTTATAAAAAGAATGTTCATCAAATTTTTCCCCTTCGATGCTGCATGTGTTTTCTTATTTTCCTTATCAAACTATTTATTAGGCCTTAATCTGGCAGGAACAGCTGTAATCCATCCAATGCTAATGCAACTCACTTGTGACCATGGAAGAATAATTTGGTACTTTTTTAGAGTGGACTAAAAGTAAATGAAAAACAGAGCCACAATTTGGAAGTGTTAAAGTAAATGATTAGAAAAGAATTGAAAAAGAGACTGGAATCAAAATTATCAGATCCATGATCCACTCATTAAAAGTTATTCAGTAGCTTTCCTTCTGTAAAAATTGATATCAATGCTAAGCTTGGCAATTTTTTGCTTTGGACACTTGCTTGGTAAACATCTTAGAGCCATGAACCTAATTCAGTTAGAGGCATAAATCTTTGATAAGGAGGTCTTAGCAGAATATAAATTTGTTGGTTCAAAAGAGAGAATTGTACTTTTGCATGTTTAAGTCTTAAGTTTCACAGTCTACAAAACTCTTAAATTACTTTACCTTTTGTTATTAATTATTGGACATACGTTTTGGCAAACACTACTGCCAGGGTTGCCTTGGAATTTAGGGAATGGATTTCCCTGACACATTTCGATTAAAATTCCCTGACAATTTAAGATATGCCACTTGGTTAAAAAGACATAATTTGAAATAATTTTCAAGTAAATTTTGTTGTTTGAAACGTCGCACCCATCGAGAAGGCTGACATTTATAGGTTATTACTGACTTTTAGAAATTCCCAGACAATGCCTAGTATTCTCTGACTGTGGCAACTCAGTAATGCACATCATTCTCAGCAATCAAGTTGTGACTCACTCGCAACTCGCCTGCTGAGAATGATGGGCAGTGGCCTGCGTAGCATAAGTTCTATAATTAATAACAAAAGATAAGGGAATTTAAGTGTTTTCAAAGATTGCACAACTTTATACTTACTTTTAACAATATTCCTTGTTTATAAATTGATTCTACTTAACATGGTCTTATATCTTTACAATGCAAAAGAGGTGGATCATAAAATTGGCTTACAGACTGTACATAATTAAATTCTTGGTACAAAATTATTCAAAAATGCAACTTGAAACTTCTGTCAAAACAATAAAATTTTTCTATCTTTTGTGAACAACGAAAACTAGTAAAAATTTGTGAACAAGTCACATAGAAAATCAAGATATTTTGCAAAATTTCACAATTCCTTGTCTGAAATTTTAACACAATCGCATTAATTTCACTAAATTGGCAATGTGATCAATCCCTGGTTGCGGTTTCATTGCCATTAGTCAAACCCGCATTTTCGTCGTCACTGCAATGAATTGTAATTTCTGAAGAGTCTCTAATTTTTTTTGTTTGGGTGAATCGATCGTTATCACATATTATCCGTTTTTTTGCACAAGCCACACTTTCTTCAGTCACTTTTTCACCATCAATTTCATCATCCGGATTTATTTTTAAAATTAAACCGCAAGAGTCATTTGAAGACTCGTCATTCAATTTAACACCATTAGTTTTTTCCTCCGAGAGAGCAGGGCTTTCAACTTTGCGTAAACTACTGAGCTCACGTTCTGCTTGAGATAAGGCATCTTTGGTTTTGCGAAGTTCTTGTTGAAGATAGTAGATAGTACTTTGCATTCCTTCTACGTCTTCGTCTAAATCTTGTAAGAATTCGTCCAACTCTGAAAAAGTGATTTCCAAATAAATGATTATTTTATATTTTACGGTTAATGATTGACAAATAGGTAAATAAAAAATCAATATTTAATAAAGAAAAAAAAGGCTAATTGCATCAGGAGAAAGAGCAATACTTCTAGAAAAATCGCAAAAAGCACCCTGAAATCCAACGATTTTTTAAAAGTTGACAACGTCCAAACTTTTGAGGCTAATTTCAGATTCAGATCCACTATACACCTACACCTTAAAGTAAAAACAAACTTAAGTTATTTATTCAGTTAGTGAGTGTTCAAATATGGTGGTAAAGGATGCAATAAAGCTCCTACCACTAAGCAACAAATCTCCTCCCTACTATACAGGGAGTTTCTAGGTATTTGTCTCAGGCTATTTAAAATTCTTGAGTCATACATCAGAGATTCGTTTGGTATGCTGCATTACAAATAGGTACATGAGAATCTAAAATTATTCCTTTTTCCCCATTCAATACACAAGGAAAATCTCTATTTAGCCCTGATAGGCCTACATCCATACTTCCCATAGCAAGATGACAGCTATTGAGATCTTGACAGTGCTGAAATTTGCTGTTGTCGAGTTTCTCAAGCCATACAAAAAATAAACCCCGAGTTAATTTTATAGGCACTGCGTTTACTACCGGCACTCAGGATTTTAGTCACCAAAGCCTGATTTCAAGGCATGTTTTCCGTACATTCTCTGGTAAAGTTGGAGAAATATCATTAGTTATCCCCAGGTGTTCAAGCTGAGAGAGAGTACCCAGAGCCTCTTCTGGCCAAATAATTGAATCTACAGCAGGAACAATAAGACGTTCGACAGCCACCTCATTGGGCCGATAGTTTCAACATTCCAGAATTTTATGAAATCCATTACCTGATTGAGATTTTTTTACTTCATCACTAAAGCTTTTTTGTAAAGCTAGTTCACCCTCTAGCTTTGCTAGTCTTCCGCTTGAAATCATTTTTCCTAACTCTTCATTTTCTTGATACAAAAGTCTACACTTGGCCATGAGTCTTTTACCAGTATTGCTGAAAAGGAAAGAAAAGACCATAAGTACTGACAGAATCATGGGTCCAGGGATTCGTACAGAACTGTTGAGTTAACTCACAAAATAACTGACATTTTGTCTACCTTTTGTGATAATGTTTGATTTATTGAGTGGCTAGCCAAAAAGCATTTTTTTCTTCATTAGGGCCGTTCAAGTTTAAATAAGCTACTTAAGGGAGGAGGGGGGGTTGAGTTTTATCACTCAGTCTAACATAAACGTCCCATTTCAAAAAAGTACATTTCCCAGCTGTTTTTCAGGCTTTCTTTGTGATTTTTAGAAAAATGAGGGGGGGGGGAGGGGGCAGAGGGATCAAAAGATCAGCCCAATTTTTGTTCGAAATATCTGAACTGCCCCTTGTCAACTTTCTCAGCTTCAATTGGTCACTAAACCATGAACAAATTTTGATTAGCAAATACACTATTCACAAGGCAAATGACGCGTAGAATACAATGAACTCATTTAATATGCAAAAAAGTAACTCAGAAACCAATAAATTTGCATTTCAAGAAGCGCAACTTTTCCACAAATTTAAAATACCCCGGTTTCGCCTCGAACCGAATAATGTCATCTGGCTCCAATCAGAGGAGACCTGCAGTTTCTACGATTTCCATCAAATTCCCTTCTACTAATACATGATAACAATAGGGAAGTCGAAACTATAGTTTCACAGTTAAAGAATTGAAGCTCATTCATGTTATCTGTGGTAAACAAGCAATTTTATTCCTCATTGAACTACGTTTTACTTTAACAAACATGAGTGGAAAATGAGGTGAGGCGGCGATTTGACTGCCATAGTTCATCACTTTCATCATTTTTCCGCCATTTTGGCACATTTGAAATTCCTTAGAGTCTTTTGGCTCCTAAAATATGCCATAAATCTCCATATTCTCTACTCACCAGGTACGTTCTGAATATCAAATAAAAAACACAAGGTTACGTGACCCATTTAAAAAAACCAGTAGGAGTCAAAAGGTTTTTGATCATAAAGATTTTTCAAAAATTCATGGGACTGATGACTTTACCTGTCGGGAGTGAACTTCCAGGCATTCAGCTCATTTTGAGTATCTTCTAGTTTTACCCGTGTTTGAGTGAGTTCTTGCCGTAGTCTAGAAATAAGGAGATTAACTGCAGGATCTAGAAGTGTACAATGAAGCCCACTTCCTGAGGTTTGTGCTCCTTTCAGCTCAGCTAATTGACTCTGAAAAAGCATCACAGAAATACAGCGATGACACAGTCATTAATACATATTCATTTCAGATTTTCTTTCTCCATGCATTTGCAAAAAATTAAGGAAAATTTTCTCCTAGAAAATAAGATCTCAATTCACAGATCCAATCACAAATGGCATTTTTTTTAGGATACATCGATACAACTACCTGCTGACAAGAAAAAACTTAAGTTTACCTACTCAAGTTGATGCAAGCACTAAGCTGCTTTCAATATATTGTAGGCTGAAGAAATTTCTTGCGTTCTAACTTATTTTTTACTTAATTAAAGGAGCCCTACATCAGAAAAAGGAGAAAAAGTTTAGGGAACCAATCCAGTTATTTGCCTGGTGAATAAATTTTTTTCAATGGTCGCTTTGTTTCATGCTGACTGTTGTTTTTTTATCTATATGAAATTTGAATTTCCTTTCTGTAACATAAATTACAGATGTTAATTTCTCACTTGTGTTTTAATTTTGGGAGTTTTCTACACGTTCAACAAGTTCTGCATCAAATTTGATGAGAAAACACGCAGAAATCTGATTCTTATTCTGTCTTGTGAAAGTTTACAAGGTTGACAAAAACAATGAACTTACAACATATTCTTGAACTTCTTGCTCTTTAGCGGCTAGTCGACGCAGGAGCAACTTTTCCCGTATTGAGTAATCATTTTCTTGCTGTTTGAGAATTTCATCCACATTAGTCATCTTTGCAGCATCTAATCGAGGAAAGAAAGAACAACATAGCCACCTTATTTTTCCTAAAAAAAACATTTATTTGTAAAAAAATAATTTCAGAGTCTAAAGAGACTGGCTTGCTTGAAGAAAGTCCAATATTGATATCCCATAGACTGCTCAACGTTGGTCAACTTTCGAGGAATATGAAATGATTCTGTGATTACTGAAAGTACGTCCATGACCCAGGTAAAAAACATTGTTCTGAGAATTATTTTGTTATTATCATGAGGAAAATATTGATAATTCTATGAAAATTACATGCATTATGTTTTTCAGTGTAAATTAAATACACAAAAGCTCTCGGAGCCAAAAATGAGAATAGTTCAATGGGAAGACCTCTTCACTAGCTACATAGGCAACTAATGCAGCCAGTACCTTTAAAACGTCTATTCCAAAGTAGCTTTCGTCCTAAGGGCCTTTTTTTGATTAAATTGAAATTATAGACTCTCCGTTTCTGATATTGATCCATTTCCAAAGAAATGCAGGAGAAAATAGGCAATGATTTTAACAGGACACTACAGTAATGCAAATGCACACTTGATTCATGAACTCAGTTTGTACTGATGATTTCTTATTTTTGAAAGGTGCATTGTTGGTTACTAACTCTGTTCAACAACAACCATCCTCTCCGACAGTGACTGGTTAATTCAAAAGTAGGTTAAACACTTTGATGTCAACCAGCCAGAGTCGCGACAAACCTTGAGGGTACTTTTTTAAACACTGTTGCAAAATATAAAAATAACTTCTATCAAAGATTAAAAATTTTAAACAAATTTTCTGTCATTTCAAAAATTGTGATAGGTTCTTTCCACGTTTATATTTTAACTAATATTGATTATCCTCCAGAAAAAACCTTCTTGACCTAAGACCATCAAACTCAAAAGTTCACTGTGCAGTTCTAGGGTGACAACAATGTCCTCTTCGCTTGAGCTCCAAACATTGTTTTTAGTCTCAATTTCCTGTTATAAAATCAATAACCTAGGAGCTTCTAGGTTGTGACCTTACAAACCAACATCTATCAGTGCTGATAGCAGACCATAAAGGGGGTGCTTTGAGTGAGCGAGTACAATTAGTAGAAAGGGTTTTCGAAAATAACCCTTGTGCTTTCGTGAGGTATTCAATTTGAAGAGTGGATGTTGAATTTGAGACTAGTTAAGGGAGCTTAGACATCTCTCACCTAGATCTACCTACTCTCAGTTGACTCAGTTGAAAAATGTGTAAGTTCCTAATATCCTGAGCAAAAATCTTTCTGGCAGCTTGAAAATTAATGTGTCTTTTGGATGAGTACAACTTTACAGGGTGCATCTTTTCGGCAACATGTCTTCGATGTAACTTAATTGTTCATTTGGTTCTCCTTAGCATCTATTGTACCACACATGTCTGATCCATCATTGCATCTCATACATTTCAATTTCGTTTCAAAGACTTGCATTCAAACAACCGGTTTCAATTCAAAACTACTGAAGGTTATTTAAACGCTATTATTTAAAGATATTAAATGAAGAGTAATGCTCAGCCCTGACATTAATCAGTCTTGACTTGGCACAAGCAAAAACTCTGTATGGGTATTTCATGTTATTACATCCAACCATGCTATCCACTGTCTTGAATTTCCTATCATTATTTCTTTCTTTTTCTCTGCTTACATGAGTGTACAAGATATTAATTTTTGCCGATTTTTAGCATCTTGAAATCCAAAAATTTATTGTTTAAAGACACTTCATACTCTTATCCCCAAATGAACCTGTTGCATAAAAAATAATTCATGACTCAAATTCTGATGAACAAATTCCTATCAGTTTGGAAAGTGAAATAATATATATGTTCAAATTAGATTATTCAAGTACAAAAATAAAAAGCCCATGTTCCACAAAATTGATAGCTGCTACTCAGTATAGCTTGAAAATCAGAGTTCATAATTTAACTTCTTTCTTGAAAATTATTCCTTGAATGAGCCTAGTACAAAGGAAAAAAATACAATGAATCAGCTCTTGAACAAGATACTGACAAATACTTGTAAAACGGATTGAATGAAAGTTAGATTATGTAAATGAGTATATGATTATACCTGGTTTAAGAGTTGATTTTCCAACTTTCCAAAAAATCAAAAAGGAAAAAAATCAATCAAAAGGATACTGTGATTGGAGCAATGGCATAACATTTACCCAAAGAAGTTGGTAATGTAACATTAGTGATTGAAAATCATGCATAACATTATCTACAAAAGAGCTACATACACACATAAGGTACACTGTGAATAAGGTCAGACTTACTTCACGAAATGTAAGACATGAATGATGAATAATTTCTGTACGCGATAGCAGAGTCAGCATCTGTGTAGAACACAGATGTTTTTGTGAGACTCCGGCGGTGGTGTTTCTATTGAACTCTCACTTTTCTAAGATTTCAATTTGCCAGTTAAAAGCACGGCCAACCATGCTGAAAAAATCTGCTCATTGAGAGATGAAACTGAGACGTAGGGCCTTTGCGTAACTTTCATGATGGTCACCGACTTTACATCAGACACATTCGTTGGACAAGAAGTTGTCATTGCTAATATCCGCAGCAAATAATGCATCATTCACAAATCCAGGAATTTTTTTGTTCGTTATGAACAACACACTTGGTTTTAATTGTTGAAATATTTCGATTCACTGATTTGATTGAAAATGCGAAGAAAACTCTTGGAATACGCACTTTTCCGCCCGTACACTGTTTGGAAACACACTCACTTTTTGTCACTTGATTGAGGTTATTCAATTTTTACCAAATCATGGTTCATCCAGGATGAAAAATTGAAGAAACCCACACTCTGATGTCAAAAGGATACGCACTTGGAGCTAATACTGAGTTTTGAGTCAAGGGGGTCATTATTACATTCGGATAAATAATTTAAAGCTGAAGAAAGGGAACTTTAAGAAATTACAGTTTAATAAATTCAAAATGCTCCGTTAGCTTCAAAAATAAAATATTTAAAAGAGTCACAACACAAAGAGCCTTTCTGTGGAATAATAGAAAGAAAAATTGAAAATTAAATTTTACAGTGATCAGCACTGAAAGATTAGAGATTTTACGCGATAGTCACTGCGACAAAAACTAAATTACTTGGTATGAAAGGTTACAATCACGGAAGAGTGAGTAATACTGAGTTAAAGAAATTGACCAAAGCACAGAACAAGTTTCTATAGAGGAAAACTATGAAACAGTTCCGAAAACAATGGGGGTTCTACCTTGTTGACTTGCAATTCTGGCTTCAAGTTGGTCAGCATATGCATCAAGCATATTCCATTGTTTGATAAGATCTTCATGGTCTAGGGATGCTAATTCTGTGCTGTTGAGTCTCACTCGATGAACTGCTGGTGGACTTGGGTGGACTGGCTCCGGGGGATTGGTTATGTCAGGTCCAGATTCTTCTGCCATCAGATTTCACTTGATGATGCTGTGAAGGAAAATAGAGGGTTATAATAGAAGGCTACAACATACGTAGAGAAAGTGAGTGATGGACTACTGAAAATGGCTTGAACTAGAAAAAATAGTGTATTCTCTGAAGAAAATACACTAAAATATCACACATTTTCTCTTCTAACTCTTGCATTAAAAACAATTCATACAATGAATCAGCTCTTGAACAAGATACTGACAAATACTTGTAAAACGGATTGAATGAAAGTTAGATTATGTAAATGAGTATATGATTATACCTGGTTTAAGAGTTGATTTTCCAACTTTTCCGTATGTGATTCCTTTCCTTGCAAGATTTTTAAAAAAAACATGTAGGTACAGTTACCTTACAACTGAAGCCTTTGGCCTATGGTAGCTGCCTGAGATATGTAAAACTATTGCCTATGAGAAAGGAGGGGCCGTAACTATGTTTCTGTGACGTCTTGCTGGTGGATGAAACTCCGCTGCGGTTTAACATGTGTTCTTATGGGTGAACACATGATGCTTGTTAATTTTCATGTCGATATCTTCCCAGGAGTTGATCTTGTGCAAGAATTTATAGAAACCTTTTCGAAAGAGGATGAAATTTCACTTCAGAAAACTGATGAGTCCATAAATGGCATTATCTGATAACTAGAGAAATGAGAGCTAAATACCAAAAATCGTTACTCCACAAGGATTCAAAGGTGCTGCTCATGCAACTTCGGCCAGTCGAGGGCCACTCTGATCGGGCTACACGGTGACTGCCTCACTCATCAATGCTCGGATGTTGCGAAGACAATTGTAATTTACCTAAAATATCCACTAATTTGCTGTGACAAAACTGAGTAGTTACGACCTCCTCATTCTTGTTAGCAATGGTGTGATCTAGGAAGTGCGACATTATCCATTGAGTACATACAAAAACATAACCTTGCTATCAAAAAATAAAATGAAGCTTAATAGACTTATCGTTGATTGGGCCAATTGTAACTGGCGCCTATGGACTGAAATGGGAAAAATTTCGATAGTAAGCATAAAGCTTCCTAGGTATTATAATGAAAATAGTTTTCTCACTTCAGACTTTAGCACATTCCAGTCTTTTAATAGTAGGTAGGGGAGAGCCGGGCAAAGTGGAACACTTTTTTTCAACGCGCTACAGAAAATTTGTCTCAACTACCTAAAACATTCTGTTTATTTATAATTTATTGAAGTTCCATCGCTTTCTTATCAAAAAAAGGTAAAAGAAGCCGGAAAAGTCTTCAAAAAGCGCCAAGAAAAATTAGATACAAAGAAAGAGGCCGAATTCCACTTTAAGTTGGGCAAAATGGAATTCGAGACACCGCCCCTTGAAATTGTATTAATAATTAAAAGGAGAAACCGATTCAGTTAGATTTTGTTTTTGAAATCGAAACTAGAGCAATTACTGATTAGGTAAGATTCATGGATTTATTAATTTGACACTTTTAAATACAAAAAAGCTCTCACGAACGCGGGCCAAATCTAGCTAGGGCCGGCTAGTTACTTTCGTGATTCATTAGTGCTTATGTTTTTCTTTTTGCATAAGAACAGTTTTTAATGGATAAGTACCCTCTCTAGTTTCGATTTCAAGCACCACAGGATGAATAATTTTTTTAAAATGACCATATTCCCCTTTACCCGCCCATTCCACTTTGCCCGTGGCCCCATAAGTTTTCATGGGTGCGAAAAAAATTTGCGGAGGACCGGTTTTCTATTGCCGTCATTTTTTATCGGTTATGTTGTTGTTTTTTGCATAGAAACAGTTTCTAATTGATGGGTGCCCTCTCTAGTTTCAATTTCAACCACCAGAGTCGCCATAGGACTGACAGATTTTTGTAAAAGGCCAAATTCCACTTTGCCCGCCCGTTCCACGTTGCCCGCCCCTCCCCTAAGTCTGTTAGGTCCTATTTCAAAAGAGTGAGGCTATCTCCATGGAAATCTATTCCGCCCGGCTCCACTAAAAACATTCATCTTGTGCTTGAAGAAGAGGAGGTGAACTCCTGAAGATTTTGAATCAAGACGAAATATCTGAAGCTGAGGTGCCCAATGATCATCACTCTGGCCTTCAGGAAAATCTTCCTGTTGTGCGCACTGTGTCATGAACCCTCTTGGGAAACTCGAAAAAAAGTGTTGGCATGAAAGTCATCAGTTTTCTGTCAGAAAACTACGAAACATTTTGATATTTTATAAAAAGATAGCAATGCTGGTGAACTTGTTGACAAACTCTGTTCAGATCAGTCATGGATAGATAGTCGATGTACCTATTCCTGATATGGCATGACTTTGACATTTCATGGTCACAAACAGCATCTGATTTTGGTTTTGTCTAGATTAGCTACATCTTGATAGTGTGAGCACTTACTAAGATAGGAATCAAATTGAATTGGTGATCGAAGAGCGGAATTGATTAGGGTTCATGCAGATTATGGGTTAGCAACCTTGCGCTTCGTCTGGTTATCGAGAGCTCTAATCATCGCAGAATCTAAATTGTGTTTATTAATGACATGAAACAGCGGAAGTTTCTTTCCATTTGAATAAAATGTAATGGAATAGTAGCATACCTCATTCGGAGGGAACAATAACCTTAAAAAACGAAAACGTACGCACTGCACACATAAACAAAACCAATTCAAGGCGTTATCAAAAATTACTAGGGAAACTATTGTTGCGGATCAAGATGAATGCAGTTTCTTGATAAGAGAGAAAATGTATTAAATCTTCAATTGAAACTGAATTCTGCTAATATTTCACAGAAGTTCCACGGCGACTTGGGGCTTTAAATTAAAAGAGCGAGAGCGAGAGCGAGAGCAGGGGCAGGGGAGGGAAAGAGAGCAAGGTTGTTGCAGTTGAGGTTGGACACTAGCCATTTTGGATGCCATTTGATGACGAATACTAGTTAACATTGGTGCTCTTGTGGCGGGGCATTTAAAATGACGCGCCTCCCAAGTCTTTTGGGGGGAAATCAAGTTGTCAGTATAGGTATATACAGTTCCAAGAGTGTAAAAATTTGGTGACCCTCTCTATTGCTAGTCAAAGGATATGGAATTCTAGAAATATTGGAAGCATTGAGGCTTATTCAAAGTTTCGCCCAACGATGACTTAAATATGGAATTTAGTAACATTCTGCCCTGGAGACCTGGAGTGAAGGTATGATTTCTCTGAAACCAGGAACTAAAAAAAGTTTTCTGAAAATTTTGTGCGGATATAATGGGTGGTCCTCTGCTGAAAAAGTAAACGAAGTCAGAAATGTTGAAGCGTCACAAGAGTATTTTTTTAGTGCAACTAACGGTACGTTCCACATGAGCTCCCCCGTCATGTTAATAATCGTTTCTTTAATTTGAAATGTTTTATTTCTCAATTAAAATGTACACGTAAACCACGGAATACTACTACTGAAGTCAACCCTGAGCAATATTTTACTTGGAAAGGTAAAAATTCTTTAGAGTTATTGAACACATAAAATTAAGCTGCAATGAGCAGGTGTATATGTGAGGAACTGTAGTGAAATATTACTTCATGAATTTGACATTGTAGATTCATGGTTGTTGTGAGAAAGAGGTCTAATTCCAGGAAGATCCTATCAAGTTTGAGGATTGTCACTTTGAAAACCCTGCCTCAAATGAGAGGAACATAAAAAGTAACTTCAGCATTTTCAATAAGAAATCGAGGAGGAGCGCCTAGCTTTTCTATCGAATCTAAAAGTGATCTAATGATTTCATGAGAGAGACTTTCCTTCTCAAACTGTGAATTTTCTGGCAGGATATTGATTGACTGGCAACACTGACTCACAGAATTTGGCTGATTGCTTTTAGTAAGAACAATTAAATTAAAAGTGCACCTGAGTCTGGGCTCAGGAAAGAAACTACCATTGAGAACTATCTGAAACTATGGCGATTTTTTTTTAAAAAGTATGATGCATCATGAATTTCAGCTTTCTCACATCCACTAACAGCAAAAAATCTAAGTAACAGGAGTAAATTCTTTTGCATAAATTCTCACATTCATTTTTAAAATTTAAAGACTTCTCTTTAAGAATTTTCATGAAGTGTTTCATGTGTCTTTTAAGTGTGAAAGTGTTTTCATGATGTCGCGAATAGCAAAACAAAACGAAAGAGGGTAGAATGAGAAAAAAAGAAAATACATCAGTTAATATTTTAACAACATCTTTAATAATGCAATAACTTAATCACTGGTGTTCCAATTTTTTTATTCATTTTTTCTTTATTTAGAGTTTTGCTTATTCATGATTTGAAAAATAATGATATAACTTAATGCAGAGATCACAGCCCAAGAACTCTGAAAATATTTACAAAATATGCACAAACTAGACAAATAAATAAATATTTTTTAATTGAAATAAACAAAGGCGTGGGGAGTAAATTAAACAAGAATAGAATACAATAAAATAAACATACAGAGAAGAATAAAAGTAATGTAGGGGAATAGAAATGTACATACAAACTTGTATTGAATAAATAATTAACGGTATAAGGTAATAACACAAAAGAGGAAGAAAGAAACAGATACAAAGGTATAGGTAGGTGCCTAGACCATGAGAATATTTACATTGTTTCCTAAGTATAGAAAGTTCAAACATTAATTCTTGAGCAACCAGTTTTGATAATTCACACTTTATACAGGGTAGAGAAGAAGAGAAAAAATTTACAGTTTGAAATGAATGAAACTAGGATGATTCAGAATCAGTTCAGGGAGCTATAAAATTAATTGTTAAGGGTACAATACAACATACTAAATCAAAATCTTGCATAGACATGTGAAAGATAAAGTAAATGACCATTTCTAAAAAATGCGATGGAGTAAAATTCATAGTGTATTGGAGGAGCATTCTTCCTATTGATTATTGCCTTTGTCTATTTTTAAAATGGAAACTACTACTTCCCCAAATTTGAGGAAAGGGCAAAATACCAGAGAATAGTAAAACAATTTTTTTGTGAAATCTTGATTTCGGTTAACCCTATTTCATTGAATTCTAAATTCCTCTGGAGAGAAGTGCCAAATCCTAGAGAGAAGCACACAGATCGGGTGCTTCATATTTTTTTAATTTCTTGGGCCTGAGAGACAATCCCCTTCCCCTCAAATAATGACTTAATATTCTCCTAATCCCGGGACTTACAATTAAATTCACTGCATTCAAAACAAGAATTAGTTAAAATGAGATGATCAACTAGTGACTTGAGCTTGGAACTGACTGTCCCAATGTTTTGCTAAATGATGGTAATGTGACCATTAAGCATGACTGGTGACCACTGAGAAGGCCACCTTTTGGAGCCTATTCCAATGGAAAAACTAAAACATGTAAATGTGGGTCTTTGCTATTTTATAGGTGCTGGGTTTCCCATATTTTAATTTATAATCTTCATTAAACGTATCTTGTCACACTTGATTTCTAAAATAAACATTAGAGTAATAATAAGAGATTGCACTGATTTTATTGGGTAGGCATGTCTCCAAACTATGAGCAAACCAAATGGAAAAAGTTCAGTCCCACTTTAGTTCAGTCCCCCCTTTTAAGCATTGAATCCTCACAGAAGTTTAAGGGTTCAACAGTCATTGGATCATGAAACTGGGGAAAATAATTTGATTCTACTTTGTTTCTCTTGTTAGAAATTGAACCAGTAATTTGAAACTCTGTAGTTTTCACTACAAATTGGGGGAAAAAATAATGTTATCACAAATAAGTTGAGGGTATGATCAATTAACAGATCATTAAACAGAAAACCTACAGACATTAACCACATAACAAATGTAGTGCTGAGGAGTCTAAATTGCAACCTTGAGTGAAATGTTATGCTGCAGAAAACTTCCATGGCATATCAAATTTTCTGAGACGAAATTAGTATTGTTACAGTATAAAAGATGTGCAAAAAGAAATAATGAAACCTCTGGAAAATGGGACGCCATTTTACAGAGAGGGAGGGGGGGGGGGTTCCTTGGGTTCCTTTAGAGAGCTATCTAATTAAACATCATATATAGAGGAGATTTTGACGCTAGATACTTCTTTATTAATGGATCTCACAATGAACAGATCCTTTGATTAGAATGTATTTGGAAAATTGGCCAGTTCTTAGAGGATGAAAATGGGACAGAAGTTCCTGTCATAAATTGTTATTTTCCCTCCTGACAAGCCGATGATGATCTTTGCAAATAATTTGACAATTTCTTATTCCATCAATACTATCAGATATCAGCAGAAGAGATGATATTAACTACCATATGTGCTGTTAGTCTATGAAGCTGACTGATTCTCAAAGCGAAGTAAAATAAATCCAGGTAGAAAGAAGTAATAGGAGACGGAGACATAATTTTCTAACGGAGAACTACTGAAAAGTTTTTGCCAGATGGCATTAGTGCTTTTCAGAAACCTACTATCCTCGCAAGATAGATAGTATCACCAATGAGAAATTATTCCGTTTTGTCACTTAAAAATTTGATGGGGATATTTCTTCAAGCAGTGATTCTTCGTAAGACTTCACACATGAACTTGTTTGAAACACACTCATTAATAACAAGGGCCTACTTCGTTTTCGTATCCTAAGGGGGAAAAAAAAATAATATAAAATACCAAGAAGAAAGCTTTGATTAATTGGATTTTGTTTTGTCCGTCCTATGTCTCCTTAGTGACATTTTGACACCAAAGACGTTCTGACATTAATAGATCCTTTCGGTCAATTCATTTCTTCAAGGATTGAATATATATCCTCCTAATATCCTGTCATGCAAGATTTTTTGTGCAATGTTCATTTAAAACCACCTCTCAATAGAGCAAGAAGACTTCGGAGGTTGTTTTCATAAAATTTCTGTTTTCCTGAAGCGTTGGAATACTTCAAAATGAAGCTCCCTGACAGACAGTTTTTGAACGATAAGTAGTTTGAGTTCATTCTTCTGAGGAATACTCACGGCGTTAAGACTTATCATTACTCTGCTTCACTTCAGGCCACTCATTTTGAAACTTTTAAACTCAAGGGACCAGAATAGTTATGAGAGGCATCCAAGAGAAGCAATGAATACAGCGGTTCAACGACAGAGCATAGTCTCATGCAAATGAACTCAACTTGACAATAGAACTGATTAATCTAAGCTATAAAAGTTGTAAAAACAATAAGAGACAGAATATAACAAAAATCAAAAGTGTATTTACATAATATATAGTTATAAAGATTTTTTACACATTTAATGTAAGTAGTTACATGGTTTAATAACAATTAAAATAAAATTTTTCATTTGCTTAACAGCGTACCAATTTATACTGGGATAAATCTGTACAATTTACAAGGGAAAAAGAAACCATTCGAAATTTGAATGAATACAAAATTACAACAATATTAAAGATGTATCTAGCTTAGTTACTGAATTAAGAATCAGGCTAGCATAAAAAAATAAACCAACATGAGAAATTTTTGAGTTAAACAAGAGACATAGACACTAAAGTGAGAAAAAAGAGGAAAACAACTTTTTTTATACTAGCCTCATTCGAATTAAGCACACCAGACATTTTAATGAAAGCGTAATCTGAAATTCAATAAATAACAATTAAGTATAACAAATATAAATGTACATCAACAAAGAATTAACTTATAAATTCTTTTGAGATCAAAATATTATAATTCTTTCTTCCCCCTTTAGTTTCCTTACGAATGAACCTCATTGTGAACAATTTAATTTCAAGAGAGAGAGAGAGAGAGAGAGAGAGAGAGAGAGAGAGAGAGGTTAAAAAGCGTATCAGCTTTAATGAATTAGAGATAGAGGGCCAAGAGGGAGAGAGAAAGAAATAGGAAAAAGAGACAAAATTGAGGACTTGGATATTTTCATGATTTTTTACTGACCTACTATTAGACTATTTACAGACCTGAGTAAAATCATGAAATAATACAGCAGTCCATTCTCATCTCAAATAATCATGTTGGCAATAATTATTGCAGGCGCTTGGAGTATTCAAGCCACCTGAAACTTAGGCAAGTTCAGTATTCTTATCATCATTTTGTTAAAACTGGTAAAACTCTTCAACTCATTGGCCGTTTGATTCAATGGCGCACTTGGATGAAAGGGAGTTGCAATGAGGAGACGAAATAGACAAAAACTGAGGTTGCCCCAAGATCTATTCGGAAAGGAATGCAAGGACTCATTACTGAAAGATTAAAATCCACTGATCGAGAAGGACAAACTCTTGCAAGTATAAAGTGAGGGCGTGTCTCGAAACAGAAACTTATACTTAATATACAAGAACATTACAGTCGATTTTTCATGTGGTTAGTAGACATCGTCCTAAGTTTGTCAAAGTAAGTTTAAATCTAAGTCAAATCAAGGTTTAACATCAGAGCACTTCAAAATTGGTTAGAGAGACTCTTTCAAGGATAAACTATCGAAATCGGGGATAAATGCATTCTGCAAACCAATGACAGAGAAACCACATGAGTTTCCCTACAAGATTGAGCAGAAATGCAAAGACAAAAATTTTGGGAGATATTAACAAATCAGGCTATACTGTGGCGATGACAATCAGAAGATGTGCTATGTCTGCGACGCGGTGCAAAAGATCAGGTGCTATGCGAGCTAGACTGTCATTGGCAAATTCGCATGATGGAAAAATGTGAACAACATAGGCAGCCTGAAACAAAAAAATGAACGGTTTACAAAAATTAAAATTGTTTAGTATGAAATATGGATATCCATGTTTAGGAGGAGGGGGGGCGGTTGGTGACCAGAAGGCAAAAAGGGAGAGACACAACGTGGCAATGTCCACTTTCTACAAAACTCACAGGTGGAGGGTTCCTCATTTCTTCCAGTTTTCAAATTCCCTATGTTTTCCCTGCATTTTTTGCAGAGAATATCTCTTTACTGAAGTGTGACTTAACCACTCTGCAGAGACTATGGTCGCTGACAACTTTAAAAAGCTTCCTTTAGGTTGTAAAAAAATCAGGGCCTAATATTGACCAAAGAATATTAATTTCACTGATGTTTCTCTCCTCCACTAAATAACACAAGAATCTAAACACTCTTTCCTCAAATATTGAAATTCCTTATTCCATTCGGTAAAGAACTGTGTAATTTTAAATTATACCAAGGGTTACTGATGATACAGCTAGATTAAAACGGATCTACTCCATGACTCTCAGCTCCCGAAAGTGTTGGTTTTAGGATTGATACTAAGCAAATTCATTTTTACTCCATTTTTAGGCCAGAATTTTCTATTTCTTGAGCAATTGCCACTGCAGAGCGGCGACGATTCATAATTTGAGTAATAAATTTTTAAATTACCTGATGAGAGCCTGGAGCAGCAATGTTGACAATTCCAGCTGCCTGTTTTTGTTGCAAATAAGTTATGAAACCCGACCGTAGATTATTACTCTGCTGAAGCACATCTAGATGATCGCGGCCGCAGGGAAGGGCTAACAGCATACAGTGTTCATTATCAATCTGTGAAAAAAAAGTCAGTTAGAAAAATGGCACCATGCAACAGAGGAGGGATATTTAAGAATTTGGGGGCTCTTCAAGAAATCTGCAAATGTGATTAACATAGGTGAGGATACATGTAAAGGTTTATGTCAAAGTCAGTGAGATTTGACGTAAGGATGAAATTTTACTGGTTGGAGAGGCTATGAAAATAATCAATCCGCAATTTGACTGGAAGAATCATAATATTTAAGAGTTTTTATGCCAATGTGAACTGCACATTGAACGTCCCCCGATAAAAGCTGTGGCTGGTAACCTTATCTGAACTAGACCCTTGAAGTCAGGAGTTCTTCAAGTGTTTTTGCTGATAAAGAAAAAAAGGAAGTAGCCCAAGTGAAGAAAATGTTGGTGAATTAAACTGTCAATTGGTGCTTTTCACAAATAGGAGCATCGTTTTAAATCATTAGTAATAGTAATTGCTAAAGAGGATAACTGATGAGTCCGCCTCTCTTTTCGCTGCATACTCAAAATTCACTATTCATAGAGCCCTACTAGTGAGATATACAATCTGCAATACTTTGAGTCGATATTAATAGGTTGGAACTAAGGCAAAACTATAATCAGGAAAAACTGGTTGGAAGTATTGAAAAACTCAGTTACAAACCTGCATCTTTCGAGCGACTCCATCAAGTTGTGTCTGCTCTAATCTCATCCTCTGAGCAATGCGTAGGGGTGGTGTTGTGCCATCTGAGTTGCATGGCAACGAGTCCGTTGCAACATGCGGGTGACCCCACACAAAATGCATCTGAACTGCAGCTTGATCATTCTTGAGAGCTAAGAGCCCTTGCCACATGACAGGATACCGCTGCAACAAATAAATTTTCAAAATTAACTCAAGGATGAAACACGCAAAAAGAAAGGTACACTGATGACAACACAAACAATGGTCAATCAAGTTGAGATTGATTTGTAATTAATGCCTTTTTGAGACTCCAGTGAGAAACCAGGAATAAGAGAATGAACTGAGAAGTGCTTCATTTGTTTTGTAATAAGACAAAAGTGAAAGCAGCAGTTCATTAATCGAAGGTTTATTCACTTACAGTATAGATTTTATGTTTTCTACTTCATATAGACTTTCAAATTCCCTGTATTTTCTCTGATTGATTGCATAATAAACTTCTTCATGATTCATCTGTCACAGATGTGTAATATAATCATTCTCCCGCGGTTCTCATAGCTAACGACTTGAAAGGGCTACATCTGCCCATTACATTTCTTTTCTAACTTCACTACCTCACAATCTTTTTCTAAAAAAATTTGGGACTTATATTTGTTCAAAAAGATGAACATTCTACTTGAAAAAGCAACAATCCTTGAGTCAACGTCAAATTCCCTGGGTTTTCCCAGTCGTGAAAACCCTAAGATTCGCTTTGAGAGAGATTACCAAAGAAAATATGTTTCTTTACACACCTGCAACAAGATGAGGAGGGAGTCTGCTTGCGGCGGCACTTGACTGGCATGCGGTGGTGTGGCAACCTGCAACCTGGGTTGGGATGGTCTGTGCGCTGGTGGAGGACCGTCATAATACAGGTGTCGAGGGACATACAGAGTGGCGACGGCAGGAGAATCAGTGGCACGTCTCAACTCCAAGGGTGGACTGGCACCACTGTCTTCACATTCACTTCCTGAAATGATGAAAAATGAGGATGATGTTAACTGCTGAGTGAAAGGATAATCAGAAAAAAATTTTGAGGAATGATAATGAATACACAACAGATAAAAATATTGGAAAAAAGAATTAGGAGGGGGTTGTAAATAGATCCTATGATGAGGGGGTTCTCTTGCAATTTTCATGACACTTATTGACAGATTTGGAGTCGTAACTACATTATAAACAACCTATCTTGCACTTTTCAGAGGTGATCTGATGATGGAAGTGAAGAGAGGACTGCTGCGTTTTAGCATTAGATTTTTGGAAAGTTAATCAAAATGTATTGTCTGAAATTGAGAAAGAAATTTCAAAACACGAATGCAAATTAAGGGTGCTTATAGCCGAGACACTAGATATTTGCTTTCAGGTAAAGCGCAACATTCGGTATCAAGTTTGCTGAAACTTAATTCAAGAACATCAATTCGTCAAAATTAGCCATACACAAAAAAAAAATGTTAGAGTATTTTATTCTGACATAAAGGAAAAAGATAGATGTTTTGACATACCTGGTGTAATGTGATAGCCAAGAGCTGTCTCACGCAGATATTGCTGGTAAACTAGCTGAGGGTGAACGTAGTGAGGTGGCTGCATGTAACCCATGTGTTGAACTTCGCCCTAAAACATTTAAAAATCAGACAAGAGTTAAAAACATATTACGATAGGTAGAAGCAAAAAAATTTCATCCGGACACCACCCAAAAATATTCACTTTAATTTTGAATTACTTTAGAAGCTACAAAAGAACTCAGTGCAGAAAACCGAGGGTTTGGTGCCTACTACATTTTGCGATGATATGTCTCTTGATGACCTCCCGAGCACAATATGCTTTTGGAATTGAACTTTCTGCCAGCCGATTTCGAGAATAACAGGACTGAAAAGGAAATTTATCGGCATTTTTACTTTTATAATAGTACTCTTGCTGAGACTCAGCATTACTGCTCTGTTAGATATGAAAAGCCTTCCGGTCTGAAGCAGTCAGTTTTAACTTCCTTCTCCGTATACAATGAGGAAAAAAGAGGTTTTCTTAATCACTAGTGTTTTTCCAAAGTAATTTTACATGAAAATGCTCAACATCAAATATTAATGAAAAGCCAGTTCAAATTCCTTGGTTTTCTGCGCAGGTTCTGGAAGTGAAATTGTGCAAGAAAAATGAGAACTTTTCCCAAGGCAAATGATGGTACTCACTGATCATAACAACCTGATGTCCAGCGCTGTTACGTCTAAAAACAATTGAAATTTCTCTCAAAGATATGGGGAATAAATTTCCAAAGCTCTAAAAATATTTTGAGTGTTCACTTGAATTACAGAATTACTACCATTCAATGACTTGTCAAAATTTAAGATAACATTAAAGAGCAATGGAGGAAGTGTTTTTCCATTCCCAGACAAGCATTTAGACTTCTTTGATTCATCTCACATGAGAAATATTCCCAACTCAAAATTTTTAAGTAGCTTCAGTCTTTGAGGCACAATAATTTTATTAAGTTTAGTTTGAAAGATAAGAGTTATGGATATGGGTTAATGCGGAAAATTCACCTGAGTTGGCGGGTGTTGATGGGCTGGTGGTGGGCTCGGAGGCCATTGAGGATTAGGCAGAAGCTCAGCGACCACCCCATGCTATCCACACAAGCAGCGTGAACCAACATCATGCATATTAATATTTAAAATTTTTACAAATGAAGACGAGTACAGAATCTCCACTTTCTTCTTACCATAAATCAACATTCAGAGTACTTAACAATCGACTCCAATATTAAATTAGAAGGTGTAAAGAGTGAAGATTAAAAATACAAGGTACTGCACAAAAAGAAATCTGAGGAGGGCATACTATATGTTATTTAGAAAAAAAATTGTCAGGCCCTTGAAAATGAGAGGATTTGAAACCGAAACCTGTTAAAGCATTTGGCAGGTAGGATTAGCTCAGCAAATAGTCAAAGTAAAGGTATACTAGGATCATCAGAGAATTTTAACCATAATGCTGCTAAAAGAAGGAAAGATAAATTATGTGCTACATGCCCTCAATTTCATGACTTTATAATTTGAATAATGATTTAAAAACTCCAGAAACGGGCAACACACTCAGTATAGCTTATGGTTGGGCAAATGAAAGAACTGAGCACTTGATACCTCATGCTTTTAGTCACTTCAAACACTAACTTTGACTGTATTCTGGATATTGTCCCCAAGCTACTTTGTGTAAACTAAATCAGGAATTTCCTAGTTCCAAAATCACTCTTTAATGACACATCTCAAACTCCTTAGCCACAGAAATGACGCAAGACATTAAGTATACAATTTAATTTGAAAACCCATGTTGAGAAAAATTTATGAGATATTAAAATCTTACAATAAAATGACTGTTTCCTCCTTGTGGCTCTCATTTGGCTTAAAATTAATCTGAATCAGAACTGATCCTGGCAAAGGAGAAATATTAGAAGAAAACCCAGTGACTCACATATTGTTAAGAGAAAAAAAGCGAAAAGCAATGATTAACAACAAGCAATCTTCAATTTATTTTAGAAAATCAACAAAAAACTTACCAAGGATGCCTCAAACGCTGGTACAGGAAGTCCTGCTTGCATTACTTGCGCAGAACGTGGGGGTTGTGCTGGTGGATTTGCAACAACGATGCATCCGCTTTCAATCTGCATTATGGAAAAATGTCAACATTAAAATTGGCAATAAATAGATCACTAAAGGTGACTTCTGATGAAGTATTCTGTTTATCATCTAAATGTGCAAAGATCGGAAAAGAAAATCATTTGGCTCGTAAAAATCTGGCATAAACTGACTTTATCAAACTCCAAACACTTCAATTGTATAAAGACTAATGATATAAAAAGTGCTGACACTTCCATAGAAAAAAGCCTTAGTCTTATTTTGTGGAAAATTTTTAGTTCGTATTACATACTCAAGATTCTAGAGTTTTTGGATGAACTTTAGAGGTACTTTGATCACTCTGGTTTTATACAAAGGAACCTTGACGGAAGATATGAAAGATCATTTACTTACCCTGGTAGAGGCAGGAGTTACTGGCGTCTTCAAAGGAGGACTTGCCATTGACGCAGTTAGTACTGGTCCATTGTGCAGAGGTGTTGTTCTGCCTCCTTCAATCTGTAAACACAAGAATGACACATAATAAGACAGAAATTCAAGTCCAACAATAAAGATTTTTCTTTTGAAGAGCTAATTCTATTAGACTTCAATGATACTTTCAAGAGTTGTACAAAACTAATAGACTAAAATTTTAAAAAATTGGAGAGAAGAACAAGTTGACAGTAGAGTCAACACAAATTGGATGGAACTTTAGGTCCTGCTTGGTGGACCACGATGTAAAGAAACATCCAAAAATGATTGTGAGTAATCTTTTCTCTGTTTGTGTGGTAACCTCAATTGAGTAAAGGATAAAATAGAGACTTACAGCATTGATGGACTGAAGAATATGGGCCTTAGGCGTCATTGGGACAGGTGTTTTGGCCTGGTTAGCGACTGCTTGGAGCAAGTGAGCTTTGTGGTTCAACGGTGGAGCAGCACACAGGGACACCGGTGCTTTGACAATTGTTGGAGGAGTCAAGGCTGCTGCAAGTGTCGTTTGAGGTCCCACTTTTGCAACGTTAGGCAGCGCAGGTGATGGCGTGTTCGGTTTGCAAGGACCTGATGGACTCACTGAACATGGTTTCACCACGGAGCTGGGAGAGACAACAGCTGCTGGGTTTGGATTGATAAGACCGACAGGTAGTTGAGACTTGGTTGGCGATGGAATGGCATTGTTAGGGGCTACTGCCACACATGGACGTGGACTACTTGCTCGGGCTTTCTTTTCAGGGGGTTCGTCCGTATCGTTGTTTTCCACCGGTGCTCTGAAAAATAAACTTGAATTAATGCTACACACTCCAAACAATTTTAGAAAAGGAAGTGCTACACCTATCCATCATTTCTTTTTTGCTGTTGATAAAAACTGGCTTTTGTAAAATGTTAATAATGGTGAAATTATTTAAACTTAGAATACATTGATTCTAGGATATTTTGAGCAAAGTTGACTGGAAAAAAGTTTTTTCTAAAGTACATTTCAAAAAATTGAACCATATTATAATAAGTAAAAAAAATGGGTGGTGGACAATAAAGACGAAGCAGAAACCGCTACAATCAAGTATTCCTTACGACTGGACTCAATTGCTATCTACTTGAAAGTCTTTCATCAGAGTGGGAAAGGAAAAGTGTCCTTACAAAATTGTACTTTCACCCAATTTAGGGTAGAAAAGACAAAGGACTAAGCAAAAATTTCAAATCTTTGCTGCCATTGATTGAGTGATGCTAAAATTCTCAGAAATTTCAAAGTTTTCCTCTGAATTTCCTAGATTTTTCATGACTTATCTGGCCAAAACATTTCCTATTTCTCAGATTACTGAGGACTCAGAAGATAAGAAAGCTTCTAGTTATGGAAGGGCTAATCTGATATGTAAGTTACATTAGCCAGAGTGATAAGGAATTTAGAACTGTTTGCTTATCAATTAAATTTGGACTTACTTGCTGAGATCAGATGCAACCGGAACATACATCCCTTCTTCAGACTCTTGCATTGGGACAAGAAGCCCACTGACAGGATCGATTATCATCGTCGGCTCAGTTGGAGCACAGGATGGAACTTGGGCAGGAGATGGGACAGCCGGTGATGGCGGTGAGGGCAGTGGTGCTTCAGACACAGTTCCTGCTGGGGAGGATACTGGAGCTGGTGCAGGCGGGGCCAGAGATGCTGGAACAGAGGCTGGAGCTGGCGGTGTTGGCGTATCAGGAACGCTGGGCACCGGTGAGGCAGCCTGTTGAGCTACTGCCTGTTTGCGTCTTGGAGATCGGCGAGTTAAATCTGGCAACACTGTCGTCAGCTGAGTGTTTTGCTGCGCACGAGCCGAGCGACGAGTATTCGCTGCTCCTGAGCGTAGACCACGCACAACTTCATCAATTGTGTCGTCAACTGTGCTGCGAGAGCCATCCTTCTCCTGCAACCTGCGAGACTTTCTTGTTGACGCTGCTGTTACTGCAGCAGTCGTTGTAACAACCGCGGCAGCAGATGTGGAAATAATAGTTGCGACTGATGTTACGACCTGAGTGGTGGTAACAGGTGTTGTCGTGATAGTTGTGGTTGTTGTCGTGGTGGATGCTATTGAGGCTTGATTTTGGTTTTCAGGAGGCGACTTTATTGTCAATATCAACCTTGGCTGTTGGCTCACTTCTTCATCAGAATCATCCTTAAATTCATATATATCGGCAGGCTCTGGGACCTTTTCTTCCTCAACAGCACCCTGAAGCTTGGCACGCCGTGTCATTACACGGCCTCCACCTCCTGGTAGCCTTCGGCGGCGCCCTCGGCGTGCATTTGCATCTGCTAACAATTTACCTGAGAAAAAGAGAGGAAAATATCTTGTTAGAGCGAATACTTTGAATAATTCAGAAATTTTTTATTTATATTTGAAAAGAAAAAAAAACAACAGAAATATATATGTATGATGTTAATTTTAAAAAAATAAAAAAACCAGGAGGTCACTAATAATTTTCCATCATTTTAACGGCGTATCCGTAGGAAATACGAATTTCATTTTTTTCTCTTTGACAAAAGACTCATGAAAACGGTAAACAATTTTCCTTTTAAGGTTAATGGAAAAAATCACAGACATCAGTTATTGTAAATAAAATAAAAAAGTTGTGATAAGGTATAGTGAGAAATTTTTACTATTATAAGGCTCATCATATATAAAAGAGCCACTGAATGTTTGAGGATAAACAAAAATGAGATCCACCATTATTTATTCGAACCAACGAGCCAAAGAGCTTAGAATCTAATTAACTTGGAGAGATGGGAGTGCCTCTTCCATGGTGTAAAAGAGTATTAAAGATATCAAAAAATTAGTGAATCAGTACGATAACTAATTCACAGGTCAATGCTCACCAGATTCTTCTTTTGAATTAGCTGTTTCTTCTTGGAGTTCAGTTTTCGTGGATGTCTTGCTCACGATTTCCTTGGTCTTTTTGCTGTCATTTAGATTGATGATAGAAGAACCTGACTCTTCCACTCGGATGATTACAGGCGGCACGGATGTTTCTTTGATGGTTTCTTTTCGTGTAGACATCTTCAAATCAGGAGAATCTGTTTCTTTGCGAGTAGTTATTTTCAGATCGCTAGCTACTGTGTCAACCTCACTGCTGGTGACTGGTAGGGTACACTCAGCACCGGCAACAAGATCAGGCAGTGCGTTGCAAGAACCATCAGTGTTGACACTACTAACTGGGGTTACTACACATGTTTTAGGCGAGACATCACTGACTTGAGTGGAGGAGGAAGTTACAACAGATGCACTGCTACTAACCACAGTGACTGCGGATGTATTCGACAAAATTACACCACTACTACTGCTGGAACTTGTGAGCGAGCTACCTTTTTCCACTTTCTCCAGGTCTTCGGCCTGCTTCTGCCTTTTGGCCTCTAGCTCATCATTCAAACGAGATTCCATCTCGCTGACAATCTGACTCAACTTGGATTCTTTGAGCACCTCTTCGGTTTTTACAGCAGTTTCAGTGCTTGATGTGCAACGGTTCATAAGGTCAGTCAGCCAGTTGGGCTCATTTTTTGTCACCGATACATTTTCCTTGTCATCCAAATGGTTTTCTACTGTGGATGGTTTCTTTTCACTTGCTGAAGGAGACTTCACGTCAACTTTAGGAGAAAATTTATCTGTTTCAACAGGGGCTTTACTTAGAGATGGGGCCTCTGTGTTTAAAGGTTTCAAGCATTCTTCATTTAAACTTGATTTTACAGACTCAATGCATGACTGGATGTTGAAACCAGGAGATTCCTTCATTGAGTATGGGTTGTTGAATAGATCGTGTTTCATAAAAGAGGGCGGGCTTGGTATATCTTTGCTTGGAAAATCACCATACTCTTTGCTTGGTCCAAGGTGGAATTTATCGGACATGTCTGTCACTTGGTACGCAGCTATATCCACTTTTGTGTCGATGTTGTCTATCTTGTTGGACAGATTCTGGATTTGATCCATGGAGTCATAAGGGAACTTGGCTCCAGGTTTGCGATACGTGTGTGTAAATGGTGCTACCTTCAACTGAGCGGCAGGGTTAGCATTTAACTGAGGTTTAGTTGTTGTGGAAATGACGGATGAAATCGGTGGCCGTGTTGGCTGATGATTTGAGTTGACAGACATGGATAGCGGCTCGTTTGTATGCATAAACAGACTTTTGGGTGAAATTTGGGTGACAGGTGATGGTGAAGAGCCTGGATAACTTGAATGAGTAACGACTGTAGTTGAGAATGGCTGAGCTTTGGGCGGCTGGTAATTCATATGCGGTGTATGAGATATGACTGCTGCTGTGGGCTTGACTGCTGACACTGGCAAAGAAAAAGAGGTAGTTGTCAGAGTTCCTGTGGTGGCAAGACCTTTGATAATTGAGCCACTAGTTGCAGTCAAAGATTGTGTTGTTTGGGAGGATGAAAGTTGGGAACTGGTGGTGAGAGATTTGCTTGTCAGGGTTGAGACAACTGTAGGTTTCATTGATGTCTGGCTGGGTGATGAAATGTTGACAGCTGTAGTTGGTGCGAATGAATTAACTCCTTTCTGCGGAAACACTCCAGCAGACCCTATAGGGGCTGCAGTTGTAATGACAACTTCATGAATTTTCTCTCCACCTACAAAACTGACGTGTCCTGTATGGTTTAGTGGACGACTCAAACTTGGAGGATGATGGTTCACAGGGCTAGTATGACAAGTAGCAGCAGTTTGAGAGATGGTATTTTGATGGCTCACTGGAGCCCCAGTGAAACCAACTGTGGTGAGAAGGCCCACACCAATATTTCGATTCAAAACAGTACTTGTTGCAGCCGTAATACTGGAAACATGACCAGGTGACAGAGCAAGAGGACTGTTGGAATGGCTCCCAATCGACAGATGACTCTGCAATGGGCTGTGCGATGAAGTTACATTATGGGTTAAAGGTGCCGCAGTGCCAATGGTTGGACTTGATGTGGCACCTGTGTGAGAGATGATCCCAGTGAAACCTGCAACTGTGGTGTGCGAAGAAATTCCTACATGAGTTGCAGCCGAGTTTGATGTTGTTTTGATAAAATTAGCCGGGATGGGAGATAATGCAGCTTTCCCACATCCTTGAGATGTTACTGGGGAAATGTAGCTCGGTGAAACGACAGATGTAGATTTCATGTGACTTGATCCTGTTGTGACTGCTGGATGAGTACTCCCAAAACTTGGACTGAGCACACCGTGTGTTCCGGCTGCTGGACTAGAGGGAGCAAATTTATACGTAGACTTGGGGTTAGGAGAAATACTACTTTTCGGAGAGTGCTCATTAAATGCTGCCAGTTTCTGGTTTGGTGAGAGAACCGAGAAGTTTTTAGATGGAGGTGTTGCATTTGCGATTGGTCCATCAACTACAGGCATAGTCAACGATTTCTCAACATTTTTGAGAGACTCCCTAGGGGACTGAAACTGCCTTGGAGGGGAGGGACTGATCACCGGAGATGTTTTCATGGCATTATCATTGATTTTTATTGACAACGGACCAGGTAAGTGTGATGCAAGACCAATTTCATGGGATGAGGTTTGAGGAGAGGAGAGGATTTTGGGAGGATACTTAGAGTTTACTCTGGGAGGGTAGCGATACTTGATGGGTTTCCCAGAATAAGTTTCGTTTAGAGAAAGGTCATCCAACTCATTGGTTTTATTGTTGTCCTTCTTCACTTCAGGTTTAGAGTCCACAAATCGAATAGCATCAAATTTGCTTAGGGCGGATTTTTGCTTTTTAGAACTCTGGTCAGTGTTTGAACAAAATTCATTTTCTAGGGTATCTTCGAAAATTTGAGGTTTATGATCTTCAGTTGCCATTGGTTCATCGATCTTCAGTTTCTCCTCATGAGGCTCAGACTTTACAGTGTCAAAAGCATCATTTAATTTAGCTTCATCTTTGACCATTCTAACTGGGGACTCCGATTTAATTTCAGGCATCTCTACATCGGCAGGATCTTCTTTTTTGTCAGGTTTGGTGGTTGCAAGAGCAGCTATTCTTTCTTCAAGACCTTCTCTTGAGCGACACGTGGCTGGTAGGTCTGGCGTTTTTGGCAATGCATAAATATCATCTGTGAAGAAGCTGTCTTCAGTATCAGTATCTATGCGCAAGTCAGGTTCTGAGGTGGGAGTTTCAGGTTTTGACGGCTCATCAGCGTACGAAGCAGAGTCATCGAAACCGGCTCCTCCAAATGCATCTTCCAGCAAAGCAGCAACTGCATCTTCTGTTTCTTCTTGGGAAATGATGACTGTCGGTTTCTCCTCTGCTGGTGAAGCACAAACTGGTGATTTAGTGGCTTCCTCTTTTACAATAGGATCTTGAGCCTCTGAAATGCTCTTGACAGCTGTTTCGTGGATGTTCTCATCAACTTTCGAACCAAAACCTGGAATGTCAAGTTTCTTGTTATGTGAAACCATGGGCAGTAACACAGGCGGAGAAGAATGGCAGACTGGAGGGGAGAGAGGAGATGTCATAGATTCAGTATCTTTATCTTTCGAGCTCGAGTGCTTGGATTTCTCCTCCTTGGACTTCTTCCGCTTTTTCTTCTTGATTTTCACTGGTTCTGGAGGCTGAGGCGAAGAGCATGATTCAAGTAGTCCAGCTTCGATTGCATCTCCCATTTCTTCTAGCTCCTTCTTCCTTTCTTTTCGTCTTTTCTCTCGTTTGTTCATTGTTTCTTTTTCGGACTCAGAATCTGTGCCGTATACTTGTGTCACTTGCCACTTCCGATCATATTGATTTTTATCGGATGAGTCATCAGACAGAGGCCCAAATATGTCTTCCATTGAATCTTCTTTTTTGAAAAAGTCAGCGGCATTCAATTTTTTGCGTCTAATTTTGGTGGATTTTTCATCAGTCTCGTGACTAAATTTGCGCCTGTGTTTCTTGGACGAGTGCTTTTTAGAACCACTTTCATCGTTGTCCAGGCTTCTTTGACGCTTTTGTTTTTTCTTATGAGACTTCTTCCTTGGGGCACTCCTTGAGTAAGAGGTATCATCATTGCTAGGACAAGTTGAGTCATAGTTGACAGCAGGCTTGTCATCAACAGAATTCTCATTGATGCAGTTGTCAGAGAAAATTTCACGTTCACTAGGTCCGTTTTTCCCTTCAAAACCTCTATTGACATCACCATCACTCTCCTCAGAATGGATGCGAGAATTCTTTGTTCTAGCAGAGAAACTCTGGCGGCGGATAATATCATCTTCAGACTCGGACGTTACTTTCGGAGCTTTGTGTTTCATATCGTACTCGGAGACATTGTCTTCTTCAGAGCTTGTGATCAATAATTTACTGGATCTCCTTCCGATGCCTCGCTCAGAATCTGAGTCTTCATCATAGGATGTAGAGCGTTTCTTTTCTTCACGTTTTGCCCTGCTTTGTTTAAGCTGATTGAATTTTTCTTTTAGCCGCTCTTGCTTCCTTTCTTCTTTTTGTTTCTGCATATTTTTGCAAGATCTTGCTTTTACTTTATCGTACATTGAGATATATGCTGGCTCATCATCAACTATATCAAAAATTGAGTGTTGTTGGCGTTTCCCCGACTTGTCATCATCACCACTTCCAAATTCACTTTCACTGCAAGTGTTGCCGCTATCTGTCCTCTGCTTGCTTTTCTTGTCTTTGTTCAACTTTTCACAGCTGCTTGAGTAGTCCTTCATCTTTTCCATGTTGCTGGGTTCTTTCCGCTTATCACCTGTTTCTTTGTCTTTGGATTTTTCGTTGGTTGACAGCTCTTTGATTTTCTCACTACAACTGGAGCTACTTCCACTAGATTCTTTACGATTGATACTTTTAGGACGCTTCTCATCAGTGAATTCTTTCTTCTTCGGTCGTTCTTCATCTTCTTTCATTTTTTCATCAAAAGATTTTGAAACACGATTATGTTTATCTACTTTCATGTCTTTCTTTGAACTTCCATAACTGCGAGAGCTATCTTTCGAGTCTCTTCTTTCAGGTTTAGATTTCTCATCAGAGCCATCTAAACTATCTTGAGAGCTAACTCGTCTTTTAAAGCCAATAGTTGCAGGGAGAGAGCTGGTACTCATCCGCTCTTTCCGACGTTCTTTCTTTATTGACTCGGATCGTTTCTCATCATAGATGTTATCAACTGATGGTTCTCTTTCCTTACGTTTCTCAAAATTATCTACTTCCTTGTTTCTTTTTGACTTGCACTTATCCTTTGATGACGTTTCAGAGTCCTTTGACTTGAAGTCTACATGATTGGTAAAATTGTCATCATCTTTTCGTCTTTCTCTGTCACAGCTTTCTCGTTTTTTCTCATGGATTTTATATTTTGATACATCATGTTCTTTATTTAACTCTTTGAAGGACAAGCTTTGTTCGCGAGTGATTTCTTTTACATGATTGACATCATTAATACTATTACAATCAATGTCATTTTTGTACAGACCATCAAAAAAATCTTTTTTACGTTCCTCATAAACTGAGTCATTGAGCTGGTTGTTTTTTATTCGGTTGTTATCTTTAAATTTGGCACTTATATGCTCCCAACTTTTGATTTTATCTTTGTGCCTTCCATTGTCTGGATGTTCAATTTCTTTCACCTTGAGAATTTCTTTGATTTTGCTTAGAGGATCCACCGATTCGTTGTTCTTCTTCTTCTTTTCATTGTCTTTTTTGATGCTTTCAGATGGACCAACTTCCTTCTTAGATTCTTGATTTTTGGCAGAGGTGTGCACGAAATTAACTTCCTTATGATGTTCTGAACTATCCGAATCTTTGTTTTGTTTTGCACTAGCACTGCCAGATTCTTTCCTTTTGGAATCTTTATCCTTTGTTTCTTTGTCTTTTGATTCTTTAGAATGTTTATTCACTGAATTATTGGACTGATTACACTTTTGTTTTGACAGAACATTATTGGGTAAAAGGTTATCTTTGTCCTTCTTCTTCTCTTTTTCTTTTTCGACAGATATGGAGGAGTTATGATCCTTTCCACTTTTGTGTCGGTCTACACATTTGTTATTCTTGGAAGCATTAAATTCAGAATGTTCAACTCTCCTTGACTTATCGGTGGATTCTTGTTTTTGCACCGAAGATTCTTCTTTATACTCAGGACTATGAATGATGAAATTAGTTTTAGATTTCTTAATTGAGTGATCCTTTTCTGAGTCTCTTTCTTTCTCTTTTCGAATCTTGGAGCACTCAGTATCTTCAGACTTCTTTATTTGAGAGTTGATGTGTGGCTTGCTGTTACTGTTGTTGTTTTCCGCTTCTTTCTTAGTCTCATCATTTTTCTTCCTATCACCAACTTCTGACTTTGATTCCTCTACTTTCCCGCTACAGGTATCACTCCTGTTTTCACAATTTTTTCGTTGTTTGATATCTTTTTTATCACAGTGACTGTTCCTCCGTTTACTTTCTGACTTATCATGAGAGCTTTCCTTGTGTTTTGAGCTTGCTTTATCAAATGAGCTGTCTTTTAGTTTGCCGAGTTGGGGCAATTTCTCAGTGCTGTCTTTATGCTTGCGTTCTGAACTTTCATGAGTTTTTGAACCGTGCTTATCCCCACTGTCATGTGATTTTAAGCTTTTATCGGAGCTTTCATGGCGTTTATCAGTTTTCTCAGGAATACTGTCGTGCGCTTTATGTACATTTTTATCACAGATATCTTTATTTTTACTCTCAGATTTCTCTGAGAAACTATCTTTCCTCTTAGCTTCTGTTCTTTCAGAGTCTTTTGTTTTATGCTCAGAAGACGACTGACTTCTGTGCCTGTGGTCAGATTTCTCAGAGGAAAAGCTATCTCTCCTTTTGCTACTATACTTGTAGTCATGTCTTGAGTCGTGTTTGGCGTCAATTTTGAGATCAATTTTTTCTGAAACACTGTCTTTCCTCTTGGACTCAAATTTTTCATGAAAGGGTTTGTCATCTTTCGGTTTTGAGTCACTCTTATCGAGACGATTTTCTTTCTCTCGATGCCTGTTTTCTGCATGTGGTTCTTTGTCTTTATGCCTGCTTTCTGTGGATGAATCTTTGTCCTTGTGCTTGTGTTCAATATGAGCTTCTTTTTCTTTATGCTTAGGTTCTATGGCTGTGGTTGAATCCTTTTCTTTGTGCCTAGAATCACCCAGAGAATCTTTGCTTTTTTCAGGAACTTCCCTACAATTTTTAATTGTATCTTTGGGTTTATGCTCTTTCTCAACTTTTTCAACTAACGTCACACACGGTTTGAGTTCAGGCATCTTGGGAGAATCAGCATCACTTTTTGATGAAATATCACTGTCAGTATCTCTACTTTTAGAGTCTGATTTGTCCTCAAGGGGATGGTGATTTTCAGATTCTTCTGGAAAATTCTTTGATAGGTCATTTTTGGGACTTACAACCGCATCAAATTTAGAGTTTTGGTCACCTGTTTCTTTGCTGTCTACTATTTTGACTTCATCAAAGATCTCTAAATCATTTTCCGGTAAAGAATTGCACTCAATTTTTATTTCATGTTTGATTTTAACTACATCATTGCTTTCTACTGGAGCCTCAGTTGTAGAAACTACTTCATTCACGGTCACCGGTTCCAACACATTTTCTGGTGGATCAATATTTTCCTTGATGGTTTCGCTGTCAGGAGAAATCGGGGTTTCTTCGACCACTTTATCTAGAACTGGAGGTTTAATATCATCAATAGGACTTCTTGGCTGCTGCTTTTCATACATTTTGGAATCAAATTCATCATCACTAATTTCCATGTCCTTCTGCAAATGGTGGATTTCTTCTTTGAAACTAGATTCCGAGTCAGATATTGACTCATACCTGGGCTTTTCAAATTCCATTGGCTCAGGGGCTGTTATATTGTTTTCAGTAGGTTTTGAACAACTAAAGCTAGCTGACGCTTCAGCACAACTTAGAGGAGTGTCGTCAATATTATTCACTTCTGATGGAACTAAATCGCACTTTCCGCTGGTTTCTTTTGATTTAAGTTCGATTGCACTCCTTGAATCTGGATGTCTAGGATTCAAACTTATTTTGAAGCTATTATCAGAACTATCTTTACTATCAGGAACATTTTTATGATTATCTTGCGTTTGGATTTGATCATCTCGATCTAACTTCAATTCGTATCGTTTGCCTAAAAAATCAGGTACTTTGGTAGAACAAGTGTAGTCATAGGTTATGGAGGAGCAGGTCTGACCCCTCTCCAGTCGAGGGTCTGAAGGAAATGTTTCTCGTTTTTCTAAGCGTGGGTCGACTGAAACAGCATCCCTTTTATCTAATGGGCTACTGAAACAATCTATTTTTCTATCTAGAGAATCTATACTTTTTGGCTTACTACTGGAATCAAGGTTTGAGTGATCTAAAGTGGGGAGCCTTGAATCAGCTCTGGGATTAGTTTCTAATTTATGCTTTCCTGGTTGAGAGCTAATTCTCAATTCATCTAGATCTCTCACTCTTAACCTGTCAGCAGCATTTTCTCTAAATTCAACTTCTTTTAAGTTTAAGGACTCTTTAGAATCTGTGCTCTCTCTCCCTCGTCTGTGATCCATGAGGTGTTTCCTTGGGTCTACATGAGCTATTGCTGGAATTGGTTCACCTATACTTGACTTCCGCTCGGAATGATTCAGCCATTTGAGGACTGACTCGTCATCACGAGATCTTCGCTTTCCAATTGCTTCTTCGATGGAGCTTGCTGATACTGGTTCAAAACGAGTTGTTCCATAATCACTGACAGGGGAGGTGGGAGTTGTTAAAACTGCCATAGAAGTTCCCGTAGCAACAGATGAAGTTGGTAACACCGGAGGATGACTTGGGAATGGATATTGCAAGCCTTTTGCTGGCGCAGGTGATGAAGCAGGCGACTTGGGTATGGAGTAAGATGGTGATGGAAGGGGTGAAGAAACATCTAAGCGCGTTCGTATCGATGACTGAAAATTGGGTCTTGAGGGTACAAATTCTTTTGGCTCGTACTTCTCCCGAAAGTTTTCAAGCCTCTTCGAATCCTCATCAAATACACTCCGCCTTGCCAGAACTGATTTCACAATTTCCGAGGGCTGCAGCTCATGAACATCTAGATCAAGTAGTTTATGCCTTATTCTAACCGAAGAAGAATCTACTCTCGCAGTTGCTGTCCGGGAGCCCGACCATTTCTCATATTTTTCATCTAGTGACCGCAATCGTTCTTCCCATTCGGGAGAGGGAGGAGGTTGAGAGTCAGAGGATGAAGAGTCAGGTCTAGGCGGGGATGCTGGTGGACTGGGAGGAGTTGGTCTTGGTGAAAAAACTTGGGAGGCAAACCTGGGTAAAGGAAGGGATAGGGGGTCCCCAGGTTTATCTCTGGGTGTTTTACGGGGTTCCACGGGTATCAAATTCTCTGGCCTTTCATCACACAGTGGTGTGCCTGGCCGGCTACCTTCTCCACTTTGACTTCTATGATGCCTACACCTTCGACGCGAACTTCCCTCCTCTCCTGAGCTGGGACAGTCTTCCAGTTGTTCAAGAAGTGCATGCCTTTCTTTCTGCAAATGCCGTATGTCTGGCGGTCCAACCATTACTGTAACTAAAGGGTCACTGGGTGCATCATCTGCAATATCTTCATAACTTCTGAAAAAAACAAGAAAAAGGATAAAATTAAAAACAAATAAATTAAAACAATTGAACAAGAGACTGATTCAAACCGAGGTGTCCGACATTAGCTGATGATTATGCTTCCTTCCTTTCCTCCCATTTTCCTGAATCATCGAAATTGTTGCATTACATGAAACTTCATCAAAACATCTAGGAAATCAATGCTAAATGAATGAATGCTAAGGCTTAATATTGATCCAAATCATTGGTTGCAGGGTGAAAATAAAATTAAAGGAAACCTGAGCTTCATACCTATTGACACATTCCAAAGTTAGCTCTAAATGCAATGAAGACTTAATTGTCAGTAAAAAGTCATGAAGGTTCCACTCGCTAACTTTAGACAGGGATGGAATGATGTTTGGTTCCGTATTTTCCCTTGATGATTAAAATTTAAAGTGAAAAGGAAAGTCAGCACTGTATGAATTAGAAATAGTAGAGGGCATTGCATTACTAAGGTACTTCAGTTATGCATTGCCAGCAGTATGATACTTCAGCGGCATGAATCCATGGAATTTTGAAATTCCACCTAAAACAGAGTAGCCTCAACACTTAGACGAAAAAACACAACACTTACTTGCTGATAACTAACGACAATTAAAAACTAGGACAATGAAATCTTTGACTTGAATTTTTTCAGACAATAATTCTCTCTCTACAATGGAGAAGACTACGAAGTTATAAAATCCACAAGACATTCTGATTCTAAGAGAAACACAACTGAGAGTCGATTCAATTTAAAAAAAGGAAAAATAAAAAAAGTGATAAATCTGATAGAAATGAAACAGATTGCATACCGGACAGAACAAGGTTTCACGTCGTTGGGGTAATCGGAAAAATCAAAACGAGAGGTAGGTAGGTGACGGGGATAGCGAGAGGAGGAAACTACGTGTCTACTAGATGGCTTCCCACCACTGCTACCCGATGAGGACGGAGTTTCGAAACCTCCTCTCAAACTTCCAGAACTGTGCTGCGGAGAAGTACCCGTACTGCACACACACCCAAGCAATCCAATTAGATCACACCAGTTTCAAATCAAATTTAATTATTAGCAATGTCTGAATCTTTCAATTGAATACAGCATAATCAGGGTTCATTTAACTATTTTTAACGACAAAACAGGACTTCTTAAGGAGCTCTCCATTGCAAAATTAACCTTGAAAAACGAAAATGAAAATTTTGACTTTCAAAGCACGTTTTAAGAACTTACAAAATCACTTCAACAACTGTGAAGAATGCTTTAAAAATTGGAAGTTCCTTCACTTAAATTTTAAGCCTTGCCTATCTACATAATCACATTGTCACCTTCCAGGCAAAGTATCACAAGCGCCATGCGACGTTTAAAAATTTCCGCCGCCATTATATTTTTTTATAGAGAAATTGTTCAACGAAGCTGTCCGAAAATTTCACTGAATTTTCTTTGTGCAGCCGATAAAATTTAGTGAAATTTCCAAACAGATTCAGCCAACAATTTCTCAGTAAAGAAATAAAATGGCGGCGGAAATTTTTCAACGTCGCATGGCGCTTGTGATACTTTGCCTGGAAGGTGACGACATAGGCAAATGTATTACTTTGACACATTGCAATGGTCTCAAACACAAAAGAGGAGAAAAAATACTAATCTGCCTGAGAGTTGTAAAAAATTGTCATTAGATGATATACAATTTGAGGATTTATGAATAAATGCAGGCAATTTCTCCCAATTCCAGGATATTCCAGAACTTAAATTCAAAAACCTAACAGACTTTTCGACGTAAAATGAACCCTTATAATACTTTTCCTGAAATAAGCCGATGATGTCTAGCTACTCCTAATATGTAGATTTCCGAATTTAAAAATAAGATTTTAAAATAAGATCACCCAAAAAATGCATCAAAAAATTCCTACACTCACAGTTAGGGTTTCGATAAGGAACACTTAACTATCTCACATAAAGACCTACTACTGATGTCCACCGTTACACAACACTTTTTTTCAAGACTTCCTCCTCACATTAAACCGGGAAGTTTTTTACGAGGTGCAAAGTGTGGGAAAGTAACCAAACACCCGCAGGGAACTCGATAAATTAGTTCTGGTGGATTTACTCTATAGTTCTGAGGAGCAAATGGTGTTATTCAGAGACTTTCATCCAGGATGAACAAGAAAATTATGAAGCATACTCCTTTGCAAAGAAATTCCATTATGAATTCAAGAGAACTCAAGACATTTTCACAAACATGGAGACTTTGAATTTTGATACTAAGTTCATCAATAGGATGTTTAAGAGTAACTTCAGTTTGTAGACTAATGCAAAAGATGAAATACCACACGAAAATATTAATCAGCCAATCTTAGTGACACACTCATTAAATGTTTGATGCATTTAATTCCACATTTAAATTCTGAATGCTGGATAGCAGTTGCAAGAAATAACTATCGGATGATACATTCACCGCCAATACATTTGGCAAAGAAAGAAAAAAATTAACAATGATAGTCACAAAGATGATCTGAAACATATGTTTCTTGTGAAGCTAGATGTGAAAGACTTACTTTCTACTTTTCTTTTCAATTTTTTTTAACACAAAAATTTTTCCTCTCTACATTTCAGTGTTCAGAGTTTTTTACAAAAACCTCCTCCTTTGGGTGTCTCTTCCTTTCATAGAAAGTAGTCCTAGAAGGCGAAGTTTAGTAATTATTCCTAGAATTCTTGATGAAAGTTATTCTTGATGAAAGGGGTTATAACATGTCGGGATATCTGATAGCAACCTCCACTACAGTAAATCACTAAAGCTTGACGCCATTACTTTATTGTGAGCATTGCACGTTATAAAATTGGGAATTGATAAAGAAATGAATGATAATGTGATCTAATCTGAAGTTTTGTATTTGCAATTCATATTAACAAAGCTGACAATAAATGAATTTAAAAAAATAAAATACAAAATAAAACCTACTACCTCTTGAAATATTTTGCGTTTTATTCGTTGCCAGGAATTGCATTAAGTCAATCTATTTCAAGCAAAGATATCATTTTCTTCAAAACTTCGCCAAAATACTTCAAAGATGGTTGACATATCTAGTCAGGTTACAAAATATGGAACATTAAATCAACAGACGCATGCTTACCTATTTTCATAAACGTTAAATTTATCTAAATGTTCATAAAATGCTTCTTGACACTCCCGCGAGGCAAAGTCAACTTGCAATTTACGCCCCCTTAACACTATTCCTCGCATCTGATTGACGGCTAACTGTGCAAATAGGATCTGAAAAGAGAATAAATACAATTAAAAAAAAAATTGTTGGAAATTCAATCTTTTAGGTGGATTAACAACTGTAGGAAGTTAAAGATGTTCTACATACTTCTGTGAGATTTATTCAAGTGACCTCAATTAACATTATCTCCCCCTTGAAAAAGCGTATCTCAATTGCGCTTTCTAGGTATTTCTTTCGACATTTAATTTTTTTCACGAGAGAACTGTTGCATGAATTTGCCTAAATTTCCCAGTGATTTTTCTATACACTTGCGAAGAACACAAAACTTTTCAGACGAATTTGCACAACGGTTCTTCCATGAAAATATAATATGTTCATAGAAATACTGACAGTGCAGATGAGATACATTATTTTGTGCAAGAGACGACATTAAATCAGCACAAGAAAGAAACTGAATCCTTGGAGGAAATTGTTGTAACTTTAAAAAATTATCAAATCTATACTGATCATTTGCCTTTTTTCTGATGATATATACTGAGATTCTAAACACCCTCATGATAAATTATTTCAAGAATAAATAAATAAATAATATTGTCATCACCATAGAGCTGACCATTTTTTCAAAGAGGAGAGGAACTCAAAATTGATCTAGAGACTGTGACGGGGGTGTTACTTATGTTACCAATATTAACCAGGTTTGCCAACCTGAAGTCACCAACTTTTGGGTTTTTCCACTAAGTTTTAAGCAAGAAAAACACTTCAACCTTGCAAGATTTTCTCGCAACGTTAACTGTTAAAAATAGAGAACAACAAACCTGCTGAAAAAAAACTAGGGCATGACCTCTACTCCGGTCAATTGCAACATGAGATACAGGTCCAAATTGGCTAAACTGCACACTGAGGGATTTTTCAGATACGGTTTCTGCAAAGGAAAAAAAGAACATAAAATTTTAAAATAAAGAGTGAAAAGAAAATATATCTTTCATACCTAGAAGGGCCTTGCATATAAGCAGCTACCTATGTATAGCATAAACTTTTTGTATTATCTCATGACCTGGCGCAGCAGGAATAATGTGAAATTTTTAAAAGCACCTCTTAGCTATCGAAACTACTTCCGAACATCACTGGTTGTCAGACTGTCTGAGTCTGCTAGTAGGAGTAAAATTTTGTCAGTCAGTTAGTCAAAAAGCTGTTAAAAGCTTACATTCATGACCTTCGTCATTATATGTATGTTATTACTTTTTGGAGCGTTTTCATTAACCTTTCTTGGTTTTTGCTATAGTTGTAATATTTTTTTCTTCATGCAGAGAATATTGATGGATATTTGTCATTTTTCAGAAATGGAATTTTATCATCTATATATTTAATATCCTAAGGCCTTTTTTGGCCTCCAACAGTTTGTGCTAATTCGATCTCGGAAACTACTGGACCGATTTTCCTCGGATTTGTTTTAAATGAAAGCTCTTACGCTGTAGACATGCCAACATCCCTTGGTTTTTCGATTTGCGCGACCGACGTTGCAAAATTTACCTCGATTTGATAACGACATATTTGCATTTTTGACGCTGGACAGTTTGTGCTAATTCGATCTCGGAAACTACTGGACCGATTTTCCTCGGATTTGTTTTAAATTAAAGCTCTTAGGCTGTAGACGTGCCAACATCCCTTGGTTTTTCGATTTGCGCGACCGACGTTGCAAAATTTACCTCGATTTGATAACGACATATTTGCATTTTTGACGCTGGACAGTTTGTGCTAATTCGATCTCAGAAACTACTCGACCGATTTTCCTCGGATTTGTTTTAAATGAAAGCTCATAGGGTCTAGATGTGCCAAGACCCCTTCGTTTTTCGATTTGCGCGACCGAAGTTGCAAAATTTACCTCGATTTGATAACGACATATTTGCGTTTTTGACGCTGGACGAGTCATATGGTTGGGGGACCTCCCACCCTCTGATTTTCCGTTTCCCTCTCCACGTAAACCCATCCCTACCTGCTCACAACACGTGTCACCCTTCTACCCTAGCATGGGTCCTACGGCAGTTTCACTCATGTCGGGGGTCGGCTCATGTCTTCTTCCAAGAGAATTGGTGATTTATCTTCACCCTTTCGCACCGTTACATTTTCAAAAAGTGTTCTGATTTTCTTTTCCAGGAGTGTTATTTATTTTTCAAGGTTGTTTCTTTTTCTAAAAGTGGGTAATTTTTAGTTTCCTATTCTTTGTTTTTGAATTTATCATTTTGCCTCCAGGAAGTCCTCTAAGCACTGGTAGTAGCAAAATTTGGCTCGCGAAGCGAGCCAACAGCTACTCGCGGAGCGAGTAACTGGGGGTCCAGGGGGCTTCCCCCCGGCTAGCGGCGCAAGCGAGCTTAGCGAGCTGAAGCAGCTAGTTTTGAATAAAAAACTAAATATTTTTCCGAATAACTCCAGAAAGGACTTTAGAGGGCTAAGTATGCTATTTTCCTATCGCCTATTTTCCTTGTTTAAAAAAAACAGGGTCAGGAAAAAAAGAGATAGGAGAAAGGTAAGGCGGGACAGAATGATGGAAACCCTGGAACATCACTCACCTGCAATTCCATCCAGCCACACACAAGCTGTAGCCAGGGATTTGCCGTAGCCTAAATTTATTCGTGTATGTCCTAAATATTCACCATCCATTGCACGCATGGCGCGCACAACTGAAACAATATCACAGTACTGCACAAATGCATACACAGATCCAGAACTTTGTTTTTTAATATCTATTTCCTGTAACAAACATACAAACAGACGAGTGAGATCACTGAAAATTAATTTTAAAAGGTTGTATGATTAAATACACGCTACAAAAAAGTGTTCAGCTGCAGGCAAGCTGAGGTCTTAACTTTTCCTTAATCAAATGTCATTTCAGGTCTTAGCTTTGTTAGATATGAAAACATTGAAACAGAGCTAGGAGACAATTCAAGGATTGAGTTTGTATAAACAGTAAGTATGCAGGTAGACATGAAACCTGGTTCAAGAAAACTATAAGCTTTGCACTGCCAAGAAGAAGAAATTAAAAATCCTTGGAGCCACATTGATGGTAAATCTGCAGAGATGTACATCTTGGTTTGCGATGATGCAGAGAGCCTGATATATTTCATTTTCTGAACGAACAACTGCTGAATGTCTTTATTTGAAAACTTCAGTGATTTTTTCTTCTGTATGTGAAAAATATTTTATAAAAACTTCAAGCCACCAGGAGGTTTTGAAACACCGCAACAGAAATACGCATTTCTAAAGTTTCACCATTGACATAAAACGATGTTCAGATTGTTCGGCTAAAGAATTCTTTGACTATTCTTGGTTTATTCAGTCCATAAGAACACTTAAAATATTAAAGAGATTCGAAAGATTTAAGGTACTTACGATAATTTCACCAAACTGCTTAAAGTGTTTCTGCAACTCGGTTGCAGTAATATCTTTTTCTAAATTGCCTATAAATAATGTTCTTGTTGCTTTTGGATGAAATTCATCTAGTTCTGCTTCGTACGGCCTGAAAAAACAACAAAGAAATAACAGACACATGAAAAAGAGTGGAATGGCGACAAGAAAATATAGAGCAAGAACTAGAAAAAAGAGAGGGAAAATTCCTTTGAAAGAACACTACACTGCAGTGAACACGGATTCAGGGATTTAATCATCTTACATTTTGGAGAACTTTCAGCTTTTATTGATCACTTCTTAGCCAGCCTACTGCTTTCTCAGCGGTGCTTCATAATAAGGTTTTTGGACATGATCAACACTTGGAGCCTTGCGAGGCAAAAACTTGAGTGGAAAAACTCAAGCTATCTTCATCAATGAGAATGTTGGAATGCTGCTCCCGGAATGAGAACGAGAATCCCATTAGGATTGAAAGAGCATCTTCTAAGATAATTTTTTAGTTTTGGGTAATTGGATAACATCTTTAAGCAATGGGTACATGCATTGAACACAAAACAATCAATGTTTTTTTCCATCTAAAATCTTTCAAGTAATTGTATAGAAATGGACATTTTTTTCTTACGGAAGACCAGAGTGTACAGCAATTCAGATTTCCAAATTCGTTATATTTTGTCTGCATTATTCCTTCATTTGGAAGGAGCAAGAAAAGACAACATTGAGCATTAAAATTATTCAGGCAAGTGAAGCTTAAAAATTTAACAATCATTGCGACTGCAGGTAAAAAGCTTCTACCTATGTGTATTCCTAATTTTTCCTATCACTGAGTTGACAGAAAAGCATTAAGAGAAACATGAAAAAAACTTACCTAAACTCATTATCATCAACATTTTGTCCATGATAAGGAGCTACATCAATTTTGCAACCAAAAAATAATTTATCATGAGAAATTTGCAGTGCTTTCTCAACATCATCAGCCTTTTTGAAGACAACTATGCCGTACCTATCAGCACCAGATCCAACAACTTTAACACACATAACTTTCCCATACTTTTTGTACTCATGGAAAAGTCCATCTTTTAAACTGGTATCTGAAAACACGAGTGCAAAAAAATTAATTCTAAGTATGTACATACAACAAAATACTCATGACCAAAGAGGAGAATCAAAGTTAAGAATTTGCTTTCAATTAATTCACTCTGGAAATAATGAGTTAATGATTTTTTCTTTCTCTCTATTTAGGAGAAAAATCTCAGCTGAGGGATGAAAGAATCGATCCCCAGAGACTATCACATCACAGTGAGGATACTATCATTTGAAGCTAACAAAAGGTATATTTGATCATCCTTATAACTTCAGGGCTGTTAAAATCATGAAAAGTATTTACAAATAAATTAAGTTAAAAAAGTAAGTATTTAATTTATTCTTGAGCAACAAACACTATTGTTCGGATCCAAAAAGTATTTCCTACAATATTCTTCCACTGAGCATTGACTCTACAGCAGATATTGTTCTCGGAACACAGTCACCAATACAAGCTTAGTAACATTAAAAAATTCCGAAAATTTCCCAACTAGATGTGCTGAAGTCCATCACTTTTTTCCTTGTTCTTCCGAAGAAAATTACAGGCCGATTGTGGATCATAAAAAAATTTCCTGACCAGTCCCTAACATTTTGGAGGAAAAATTAATTATTAGAAAAGCCAGTCGAAAACTCAAAGCAGTTCCTGCCGGAATGCTCTAAATGAAAAAATCTCCATCTTTCTGACTTGAGCAGCTTCCTTCCGTTCCTTAGAAGAAAGGGCTATTCCTCTGTGTTTTCTGGGCCTTGTAAGCAGAATCAGGGTGTCAACAGACTTGTCAGAAAACAATTCCCTGACTTTTTCGGTAACACCCTAAACACAGTCATGAATATGCTTGATGATGAAAGAATACATACCACTAGATCGAGCGGGTAGATTTCGGACACAGATTGCAGTGGGACGAGTAAGACTAGATTGTGCCACAGTGGATTGGAGACCGGTTGTTGATTTATCTGAGTGACTTGATGAGGGTGAGCTGCAACTGCTACTACCTGAATGACTTGAACTAGAACTAGATCTAGATCGAGATCGTGATCTGCTGGAACCGCTTTCGCTACCATGGGATCCCGACCTACTGTAATAAAAACAAACAAAATTCAGGGGTCATTTCAAAATTTGGACATTATACCTATTTCATTCAGTTCAAATAATCAATTTGCAAGAGACCTACTCTGTGAGTAACATCATTTTAAGAATGACTCAATATTCCCAAAACTCCAATAATACGGAAACGTAATGTTGCAGCAGGAATTGATCCTAGGCCAAATACTTAAAAAATTCAGGTCCCTTGTAGTTTTGTAGCTGAGACCATTTTATTCACTCATATTCTTTAGTTCCTTTTCGAAGGAAAAATTTAAAATTCATATGAAAATATGTGTGTGAAACGCGTCTAGTTGGCACGAAAAGATAAGCTTTTGAAAAAGTGGATAGGAAAATTAAAAATGAAGAGAAAACAAAATTGGTTACCTTGATTTAGATAATTTATTATGAAGAACTACTACAGAGGAAGGTTCTCGCCTTTCATCTTGATAGGATATATCAGGAGTTGCAGGCGTTGACGGATACCTAGTTGGACCATCATAACTATTCCATGACGGCCTATGACTTCTACTAACCACACTGAAACAAAGATAAAGAGAGAAGGTTAGAGATCCAGACCTGGACTATTCGAGGCCACACAATTACGATTTGGGAACAGTGATATACCTTCACTGAGCCCAAGCATAAAACAATCTTACAAAGCAGCTTTTGATGACTAAAACTATGAGCAAAACAAACGGCATTGTCAACAAAAATCGCTCTACCGAAAATTTCACCCCTTCACCCGAGGCCCCAGACACAATTGGACTGCGTTTAACAGAAAGGAACCAAGCCACATCAGTTTCTGCCAAATTTAACTGGGCAATTACATTTTTCACGAGAGAACGTTTGTTCGGATTCCTTTGAAAATTTTAAGGAACTTGCTTTGTACAATGGAGAAAATTCCCTGAAATTTGCACGAAAATCCGCACAACCGTTTTCATGTAAAAAATTAAATCGCCAAATTAAATTTGGCAATAGCTGATGGAGTTTGGTTCCTTTCTGTTTAACGCAGTCCGATTCGTCATCCAAAGGAACGCATCTCTATTCCAAGGCAGAAAAACTGACCCAAGCGATTCGATTATTTACTTTAGCATGACTTCGAAATTCCCATTCGATACTTTGCCGAATTTTGCATGTCACCAAATGGAATCTCAGTAAGATTTCAAATTGGAAACTTAGAGCGATTTCCGTGAGAAATGCGATTCACGAGAGGGCATTCCGTAACTAAGATATGTGCGTTCTTCCACTTGAGAAACGACGATCCAACTCCGAAAATTACCATTCTAAAATCGATATCGAGACGGGGGAACGGAAATATGGGGCGTGCAGAGTGAAAGCCGGGTTTTTCGCGGACCCCCGGCGCATAATGGATCGAGTCAGTGTAAAAAGTCAGACGTGAAATTTTCGCCAAAAATTGTAAAATCTGACGTTTATCTCGTCACAATTTTCATATCAAGGGGAGGTTTTGATAGGAAATTTTACGATGAACCCGATGAAACTACTTTCAAACCATCAATATTTCACGTTAATGGAGAACAACGCTTTTAAAGTTTTTCAATCATGTCCGACCTTTCTTATTGACTAGATCCACTGTGCGGCGGCTGGAAAACTCCTGCGAGGCGTGCCGGGCTCCGCGGATCCGCGGGGAGGGAGGCGTAAAAACGGGAGGCTCCGGGGACCCGAGCGGTAAACCCTCGGAATTTTCGTCTAACGACGCTCCCGACCCCGGGAAACGTACAGTAATTCGCGTTCCGGGCCCGGCCGGGAGGGGGGGGGCTGGAAAAGCACCGCGCCGCCCGATAAAAATAAGCATTAAGGTGCAAAAATAAATCGAGGCGGGGCAG